TCTAATCAAGTTCTAACATTTATATTTGTATTTCATAAGGAGACAATAAAGGTGATCACTCTAGATGGAGAACCTTGTAGGAATCAATTGATTTGTGAACCAAGTAACATGACTATATTTTGGTCACCCCCCAATAGAACAGCTAAGGAAAATGAAATTTTCTGCCATTTGGCTAAAAGTGAAATCATGCAGTTCTTGAGGTCACCCGACCGAAAATGTGTATTTCTTACAGTGCATAAAGCAGTAAAACTAACGTACTATTGAAAGTTGAGGGATATGTATGTGACCTTTCATTGAAACAAACAGCATAGCCAGTGCTGTAGTATAGTACCATTACTGTTACAGTCCCATGAAGTTGGCTATGAATTTCTCATGGCATGCAATGCATCTTTGTGTTTACCATGTCCCTGAACATATGTTATCGTTTCCTTCTGTAGGTGGCAGCAGACATGAAGGCCAAAGAAGAGCTAGTGTCCTCTATGCCGTTATAGCTGCTTTGGTGGGAGATAAGAGTAATATGATATTATGAAATGGATTGAATTGAATTGAATTAACATTGTTTTGATCTGTAGGTTGCAGCAGGTATGAAGGCCAAGCTGGAGCTAGTCCTCTATGCCATAGCTGTAGGAGTGGAAGGAGAAAGTGGGCATGGTTCCATAGATCATCACATTGAGATCACCACGGAAACAGAACTCATGTACCTTCCCGTCTCAGCTGATATCCTTTTCAAAGCATGTCTCTTTTAGTTAATCTACTTCCACCAAAGAATTGTTTGGAAAATAAAGAATAGCTAGGAGCTCAACTATGAACTTTATACACAGAAATCCCCATTACTAATAAAACAGTTGGTTCTTAAGTGTTTTGATTCAATGAAGCAATTCCAAACTGTTTGAGATGGGAATTTGTTTGAGTTGGCAACTGTTTGAGCACAATGTATTTCAGATTTCTTCAATGTCTGCTCTTTCATAGTTCTTGAGTGATATAGAATCACTTTTATTACACCCTGTCTGTCTTTCAATTGATTGTAGGATAATTATTCTATTTATAGTCATCAACAACATTCAGGACTTTATAAATGTAATGCTTCCTGAGATAAATTTCAATCATTTAAAACATATTTGTGGCTTACACCCAGTAAATAAGATCAATTGATCAATCTGTAATGAAAAACAAGTCAGAAAAAATCTTTGAACATTCATGGTCTTATGAAAATATTGAAAATAATAGTTGGCTACAACTTTGAGGCAAGTATTGGTAGTCTGAGCAATAAATACGGAGAAAGGTGGGAAAGGAGCATTGCTTAATCCAAACTGGTACCTTTTCTTGCACTTACGACATGTATCTCTCTGTGCTAATCAATGCACAGATTGATGTTGGGGGATGGGGTAGAATGGGAAGAAACACAATTGTTTTGATGTATTCTATTCCATTGAGAATAAGCCACTCTGTAAACTTCATAATCCTTGACTGCATGGCACATATCTTGACAGCGGCTGAGTATGATGAGAGGACCCATGTTGGTAGGCAACCCAAGGTGTCACCTGGCATCCGACTGATCGCTACAAGACCGCCCTCTAGAGAGGGAATCATCAGACCAAGGAAAGACATACCACAACGTGAGTATTATTATTCTTTTCTGTGTTCTTATTATACCTTTTAAGGCCCATCTGTACTAGTTTACAGAAGGAATTAGACCACCCTGCAAGGTCACTGACGGGTGGTTATGCACTTGTCATTTGTAAGACGCACCTCTTGACCCCCGGGAATGGTGCGTCATTGTACCGATGTGAGTCGTACATTTTGATACCATGACGCACCTTCCGTCACAGAAAGTGACACACCATTACATTCCATCGACGCACATTTGAGTCAAACATATGACACACCATTTCATGAAAATGACTAGCCAATGACGCACATTTGAGAAACACTTCTGCTTGGAGAAAGTGACGGTCCCATTGACACACCAAATGACGCAACGTGGTAAAGTGACTTACTATGACGCACATATGGGTCAGTTTTGTGACGGACATTTTGCGGCCATGACGGTACTGTGCGTCGCGATTTTGGGGAACATGACGCAACCATGACGCACCATCCCCGGGGGTCAAAAGGTGCGTCTTACAAATGACACCTGCATTATCTCATCAAATCAGCTCTCACTTAACATAAGAAGAAGAGGATAATGAGGGAACAATGGTCACTGATTAGGCATCGTTTGCTATGTAGAGAGTGCAAGTAGCTATAAGTAGTGCAGTGGGGCTTAAAACAATTTTTGTTTTGACAACAAAAGTTTTTTGTCATGGATTATATATCTGACTGGTCATGTTGAAGAAAGAGGGGAATCTACTAGTTTGGAAGTCTCTTTCAATTTTAACTTTTGCATTTGTTAGTTGAGCTAACATCGGTTTCTAGATATTTTTCATCAAAAGAAAAGAAGGCATATTTTATATACTTTACCGAAAGTTGTTTTTGTCCATTACAGACCCTGATCTTCATCTGCCACTCTATAGTGTATACTACTTATTTGTACATGTAAGACCCCGTTCTCACTCACTTCGTTGGAGCGCTCTGGCGCGCTCTAACTAAGACCCGCTCCTCAGGAGCGGTTCTTAGGTGAGTGAGAACGCTCAAAGTGGTCCAGGAAGCGGACTTCTGGACCGCTCCAGAAGTCCACCTTCCGAGGTGGTCTTGAGGAGCGGGTCTTATTAAGAGCGCTCCAGAGCGCTCCAGAGCGCTCTAACGTGCAATGTGAACGGAAAGCGTACTTTGAGCGGAAGTGAGCTAGTGATGTTCCGTGCGAAACATGTAGTACGGTACATACGGTTTGTATTCCGCGCGCGAAAAAATTGACCCGCCTACCTGAGCTGCCATAGCAACAAGACCACTTTGACTCGTGGAGCGGTTTGAGCCATAAAAACTGCTCGGAGTGTGAACGCTCGCAAACCGTTCCTCAAGACCCGTTCCTCTGGAGCGGTCTAACTAAGACCACTTTCAAAGTGAGTGAGAACGGGGTCTAATTCAATTCAGTTCAGGTCATTTCCATGTAAAGGGGTAGCTGCTAGAAAAGTAAGTAAAAGAGATGATCTTCAATGTCTCAGTGCCTTACAGCAGCTTGGCTAAAGCCAGGATGATAACACATCGTTCATGGTGCCCAAGTACCGGTACCAATTTAGATGTATATGTGCACATTATAACTATAGTTATCAGCATATATTCATAAAGGTTTTCTTTTTCTTTTGTATAGAATCCCAAGAGAATCTGGACATCTAGCTTCCTAGATGATCACAAGATGATTCAAGATGATTCAAGATGATTCAAGATGATTCAAGATGATTCAAGATGATCACAAGATGATTCAAGATGATTCAAGATGATTCAAGATGATTCAAGATGATTCAAGATGATCACAAGATGATTCAAGATGATTCAAGATGATCACAAGATGATTCAAGATGATTCAAGATGATTCAAGATGATTCAAGATGATTCAAGATGATCACAAGATGATTCAAGATGATTCAAGATGATTCAAGATGATTCAAGATGATTCAAGATGATCACAAGATGATTCAAGATGATTCAAGATGATTCAAGATGATTAAAGATGATTCAAGATGATCACAAGATGATTAAAGATGATTCAAGATGATTCAAGATGATTCAAGATGATCATCCTCATCATCCTTGGACCCACTTGTAGAAATGAAAACAGGGAAAGGATAAGAAAAATAGGTCCAGTTAAAGTTTAGAGGACACCCAGTCTACTTGATATTTTGAGCTTTTATCAGCTGAAACAGTTACTTCGAGACATATCATCTGATCTGTAGAGAATGTGCATTTTAAAAAAGTCCTTTTTAACTTCAGAAGATACTAGTAGTTTGGTACCAACTCCTGATAACAGTTACATTTTATAGGGGATCAGCAACCCTTTTTTGGAAAAGATAAACTGTATGCACTTTCAAACTTACATGTATTTTCATAAATGCCTTAACTGCTTGATATAGATTTATATGTACCAACTGATGTGCTTAAACGAGTGATTAAAGTTGTTACAGTGAGTCTTACATTATAAAGTGACTGGCATGATTGTTACCCCTGCTTAGAAGCAAAGTCACATTCTTCAACATTTGATATGAAATGGGATTGAAGAAAAATATGTCCATATAAATGTAGATGTTATTTATTCTCACAAGTTTTAAATAGGTAATGAATGTGTGATTTTAATAACTACATTATTGAAGATGAAGAAGACAATTAAGAAAACTCGGGATCCTTGAGAATATTTCTCAAACATGGTTTGTGACATGGCATTGAAACTTGTGTTGTCTTTGTGATACTCTATTATGCAGTGGGAATCATACTGTATGTATATATTATTCAAATGTTACAGTGAATTTTGTAGTGTACGTCTATTTTCCGTCCCATCTTGCAATAATTCCTTGCATTTCTGCTTCTATTGTATAAAACTGTATTCCATATGACATTGATTCCATCCTTTTTATATATTCCTTCTTTTAAGACAAAGAATTTATATTGATTTCAAAGTGTATAATATAACCTATCTTGTATAATATTGTATTTTGAAAGTGGAGATGTGCTTTAGTGTATTTTGTAAAGAAAGATTTGATTCAACTTATCGACCTTGAGTTTTTGTATGAAATGACTGTGTAAATAAACTACATTTGGTACATGCATTATGAACTATATGAAAATTATCTCGCATCGGTATTTCAAAGATGAATGTTGTGAGCGAGGTGATTTGTATAAAGAGATGGACTTTTTCATAAATGGAGGAATGTTTTGAATGAGATAAAGGATATCTGTAAAATGAGGTGTTAAATCATAACGGGATGACGAGAACAGGACGTAAGAATGTTAGTAAACCAATCTACTTTGTGCATTTGAGCTGATTTGGGTTTGTATGACAAAGTTGCTTTTGATCTAACAAAATACAATACTGTAGGTAACATAATGAAGACAACTGAAGAAACTCAAAATTTAACAATACCATGATCATATTTATTGCTATACACAATATATTTTAACCAGCAATATTCTTCCTAGTATACAATTCAAAATTCAAAATAATTCCATCCAAAAATACAGTTTTCATAAGACAATTACCAGGCAAAATCAAAGGTGGTTCAGAAATAAACAAAATGAATTTCATGTCAATTGTGCTCAACACTTTATGGCCAGGTAATAAACGGATCGGAATTTGCACTAATCGTACTCCATTCTATAACTGAATTTACATGCATGCATATTGACTATAAAACAGTCACATAAAATGGCGGACAAGACTTAAACAATGTGTGTTCTAAAAATTGTTGCGTTGTGACCGCTTTGTGACTGAAAAACAAGTAAAGGGCAAGGATGACAACATATTTGAATATTTGGCAACCACATTTTTTTCTGACATTGTTCACCAAAAGGTACTGCATACATACTGTATGGTACTATTACAAACTTTGATGTATATATATAATGATAATCCAGTGGACTTGCACACATATGCTAGTAATAGGCTATGGCATACTGGTCAGGTTTTTTCAGTTCACTTTTCCCCAAGTATTGCTGGGTTAGGGAAAACATCAATACATGTACTACATTTTGAGCTGTAAGAAGAGCTAAAATACATTTTAAGTCATTACACATGTGGCAGGAATAATATTCTGACACTAACATACAACTATCATGCATGAACTTTCACATCACTGCAAATCCAAAAATAACTCTACATTTCATATTTTTGCTAAAGGGTAACTTTTGTCCAGCATGGTAGGAAAGTAACCAGATTGATATATGCTATAAACATTGGTGAGTCAGAAAAATAAAATGATAATCTCAGCACAATTATCTTTAACCTCTTTGCTACTAAAAGCCTATAAATGTATTTCAATATTAACTATCATAAATCAGCCAATAAAATCACATTATCCATTTGGTCTTCTACCATATCAATCAAACAAACAATAAAGTCATGATTAATAACCCCATGAAATCCTCCGATTATCACACTCAGGTAATATAATCATTTACTCTTTAAACAGGACTTGATAATTCTGTAATTAACATAGAAACATATCAGACAACATTATTTCATAACACTCATAACTTTTCTTTTTCAGCAGGGTTTTGGTGGTATATCTGAGAACCAAATTCCATGGCTTTCCATTAACAACTTTTGCCTTTTTTCCATGACCAAATGGCATATAAGTACGTACCATTTTGGCATTCTTTGCAGCAGCCAAGCTGCCACAGCCACATACGGCCCACACCCACAATCAAATTTCCATGTCTTTGAGAGATTTTTTTTCTTCCCTTATTCAGAAGAATTTACTTCCCCCTGATTTTCCAGGTTTTTCCATGACAGTGGTAACCTTTTTCAAGGTTTCTCAATAATTATATAAATATTACACATAATACACAGCAGTGAGGGCATTAGTAAGAATTACCCACACAAAGTAACATGCCTGATGATATTTTATCTTTTATAAAATGATGTTTTATAACATGATTTTACTAATGACCGGTCATTAGTAAAAACTTAGGCAAAATAAATGCCTGGTCACGTGTACGCTCCCAACCAATCATTTGATTAGGATCCACGTCATCATCTTATAAACATCAAAACCTGTATTAAACAGTGTTGACCGATAGCACCCTTTTTTGTGCAGAGACAACTCCAATATCTTGGAGAAACATTCAATCACCTTTTAGGTGGAACATATTCCCAAACTCTCTGATTGCTTTGGTAGACTAATGCGACTAATAGTGGACGGCCACAATTGATTTTTGTCACATGTATATAATCACATGGAACATAATATTATTTTCCACACAAAGCGGCAGTATAGGGTTTCGATTGGCAACAAATCAAAGAGCAACTTAGTAATTCCACACACATCACTCAAAAAAGTTTACAGGCAGAATATTCATAAAATATGTAAACAAAGATTAATCTCTTTCAAGTGATACAACTAGTAAAGCCATTATTTTCATGTGATTAATTTTTTGCACACAGCGACCCAAACCATATTCACTGGTTCTTAAATTTGCGTTGCATGCATTTAAACCCGTCTAAAACATGCATAAGAAGTCATGCTTATGTTTTCGTGACTTCTAAAGTTCGCGAAAAAGTAATGTAACAGAAATATTTCTACTTTTATAGCAGTTGATTGAAAACTCATGAATATTACTGTCTAATCTAAACAACTCACTCAACTGACACACTGCAAACAAAACTATACGATAATCATTACCAGTAGTTGAGATTAGATTTTAAAATTGTTATAAAAGTACATTCATGATAAGTGAAATAGAGGGAAAAAAATCACTTTTAAAATCTCAATATGAATCACATTTACAAGAAACATGATGCCATACAATTAAAACCAAAATTAAGATGAAAAAGAGCATTTTCGACCATTAAATAGAATTCAAGGTAATAAAAGGTAGATCACTTAATTCTCTCATAAATAATCATAATGCAGATCAGCTACTGTCACAATTCTTTGTCAAACTTAATACGTCAATGGTCATGATTAATACATCCTTGTGATATTACTTCAAAAACATTTTCAAATGTGTTGTCATCTGAATTCAAAAGGGTCACAAACTTGACTTAGTACACTTCTATGAACATTGTTCTACAGAAATGATTTTAAGAATATGTGTAAGATCGTTCAAAAAAATAAAAGAGAGGAATGAATAGAGTTAAAAACAGATAAAACTGAGCATGATTTATCTAAAAATCTTTACTAACATTGCAAACTATGACTTGGTAGGATTTCAAAATGACATGTCACAATTCATATTTGACAGGATGGCAAAGAAACTCTAAGTAACAGTGGGATAAAAGGAAACTACTTTAAAAGTGGAACATAAAATGATGAAAGGTATCAAAATAAAATGTCATCAATTGCACTGGATAATATTTCAGCACATAATCATAATACATGTAAGATCAACGATGCAATGAACATTGCTGTTTATATACTGCCATGTAAACATTGACAATTATTCAATGTTTGAAGTGATGATACTGTGATGCTTGGCTATGGGTGGTAAATTTAGGACCTTGAGATCAAACAGGTAGACCACCCCTCTTTCCTAATGGATCCATTAAATATAAGGGCTTGCAGATACTGGGTTGTAGCTTATGTAAAGCCATCAGCAACTTTAGGGGTTAGGTTCTGACATCTTTTTCGGTACGACTAAATTCAAAACCCTCTCTTCAACACTAATCTTTTTCGAGCCATAAACATACAGTGTATTGGTTTGGGCAGCTTTTTGACAACTCATGGAAAATCTGGTTTCTCCTGTATCTATAAATGTATAATGAACAGGTGGGAAGGTGATATAGAAAGAGATAAGTAACAGGTACATGTAAACCTGAAACATAATGGACGTATTCCAATCTCCTATCCAATCTGGTAATTTGTAAAGCACCAATATCTAACTGCCCAACAGGGTCTCTAATATACATGTAAGATTGTATAGAGATATACATGTACCTCTATTGAAACAATGTGAGTGGTTGTTTAGGCCATGGCTTCGATGATAGGGGTATAGAGCTTATCCTTGCAGTTGGAAAGTTTGTTCCCAGGAGTATGGACTACCCCTCCTGGTCCAGCTAGACTAGTACATCCCATCAAGTCCAGGTCTATCTGCCTAGCTGCCTGACGACCTTCGTTGATGGCATGCACAACCAGGGACTGGCCTCGTCGACAATCTGAGAACAAGACAAGGATGTTATTATTACTTGACAGCCATGATTGACAGTTACAGAGATGTGACTCATTTTACATCAAGTAGACGTGGACATACAGTGTATATATCGTCCCTATTTTCACGAAGTGACGGTAGTGAGGAAAATCGTAACGCAAAGTGAATGCAATTTTTTTTCACTACCGTCACTTCGTGAAAACAGCAACGATATGTTAGAGATGGTTTATGTACATGCAGCTTGTTTATAACATGGTTTTATATCGATATATGCTTGGAATAAAATTTACAACAAACCCGGCTTGTCAACAGAATACATAACAAGCTTGATTAAGATGATGCCACAGGTGCATATGAATGACAAAAACCTATAATCATGCATAAATTTCAAAGGTGGCATTCCCAAGAAATACTGCACCACAAAACTACATGTACATGACTTCTAGAGACAATATTGAAAATAAAAAGAGTACATAAATCCTCTCCAAGAAGCTAAGAAAGATAACCAACGGTCTTTTTCAAGACTAAACAAACAGTCCTTTTCAGGACTACACACCCTCAAGAAAGATTGCCGAGAGTCCTTTTCAGGACTCCTCAATCCTTCCTCTCTCCCACATGGTGCACCCGCAGGCCTACTGTATACATAAATAATGTTGTTCATTGACGGCCAGATGGGCATTAATACCTTGGTCATATTACCAGTAACAAGACCGACACCAGAACAACAGACCGATCAAACAATTACATTATCCCCAATGGCAAAGAAATCTGTTGGTTTGGCGGTGTAACAGGGGTTATAATACTCATTGTATTGTACCTTTCTGGCTCTCTGATAAAAGTGAATCAAACTGATGACACTTACCTCCCGCAGCATACACCTTATCCAGACTGGTGTGGTACTTCCCGTTAGGGGTCTGGATGTTAGACCTTGGGTCCTGGTCCACTCCTAGCTCCTCAATCAGGTTCTGTTCTGGTCCTAGGAAGCCCATAGCGAGCAGGACCAGGTCCGCTTTGAAGATCTTCTCGGTTCCAGGGATCTTCTCCATGTTGTAGCGTCCCGTTGCGTCCTTGGTCCATTTGATCTCAATGGTACGGATTCCTGACACATTGCCCTCTCCATCATCAAGGAACTCCTACAAAGTAAAAGGTAAAACAAAACATTCACTTATAAATTATCATAGCTTAATTGTCTCCATTCAGGAAAGACAATAATGTGACTTACATTCATTAGAAAGATAGGGCCAGCAATGGACCGGTATCAGATACAATTTTCATAAGAATCAAATTGCACATGCATATTTCACATGGGAGTTTGAGGATACATTGCTCAGCGATTCATGTCTTACATTAGTCCAAATTCCTATTTTCTTCTTCAGGATAATCTGCCTCCTTCACAGCTGAAGATTCTCAAGACTCTACCCACGATGCAATCCTAACCCTAAACCGGACTCCAAACCCAGTCACAAACCCACATAACCCTAACTCCATACCATTGATAGATAAATACAACCAGGAGCAGATGTCTAATAACATAAAATATTCTGCAGGAGCAATCATCTTTACAATTTTGTAACCTAAGTTATCCTGCTCTGAAATCACCGGTCTGACCCTATTGGCAATAGGCTACATCGATCTTACCTCGCTGAGTATCTCAAAGTGACGTGGGTCCTGTCCATGTTTGAGCTTGACCTCTGAGTGACCATAGTCCACTCTGAGGATACGGGGCCAGGTTGGCCAGGGATTGTTAGCAGCTCGGCTAGGAGGGGGCTCAGTCAAGATCTCAAAGGTCGTGATCGACTTGGCATCCTGGTGGAAAACGGATGGAAAACAAAATAAAGATTAGCATACAATGCATTCATCACAATTATTGGTAATCAATTAAGACACCATAATATTTCTCAGGATCAAAAAGATTGTAATCAAATATCAGTCAAGGATTAACAACATTAAAGAAATACTAAAGAAATTTACAATTTTTTTTACTTGGTGACAGATTCTGCTTTCGAGGTTACCATTTGTGCAATCCAATTTATAGATACCAGACACCATTATTCAAACTGCTATCATCAATATCAACATCACTACCGCCAACACCAACATCATCATCAGCACCAGCATTATTAATCATCATCACCGCCACCACCACGATCACCACTATCATCACCACCACCACTACTACCACCCCCACCATACCACTACCACCACCACCATCATCGTCACCATCGTAATCATCAACAACTTACCATCCTGAGTGAAGTACCGATGCAATCCACACCGGTATCACCTCCTCCAATGATGAGGATGTCCTTGCCCTTAGCATCGATGTAATCGGACTGGTTACCCATCTGTTTCTTCTGCCATGGCTCCAAGAACTGCATGGCATACTTGATACCGTTCAGGTCACGACCTGCATGTTGGTAAGGTTTTCAAGAATTATTATCATTATCAGTGTTTGCAGTATCCAAGTACAACATTCAGCCAGACTTGTATTTTGTATTTAACTGTATATTCATCATAAAATGATTTATTCCTTCTCGCTACTGAAATCATCATCACCCAAATCACCCTTTTCATCACTATCACTATCATCATCATTTTCGTAACTAAAAACACCATCACCACCAACACTTCTATTGCCCTCGCCATCATCATCGCCATAATCGTCATCATAATTATCTCAACCACCATTACCAGCATCTTCACCAAAATCACCAACATCATCCTTTTCATCACTAAAACAACATCATCATTATCACCCTCACAACCACCATTACCACCATCATCCACACTGTAATCATCATCATCAACATTACCATCATCATTGTCATCATTTTCATCCTCACCTCAATCATCATCATCACCACCATAACTACAACCATTAACACCATCATCCACACTACAGCAATCATCTCTACTGTTATCATCATCATCATCTTCATATTCAATATTCATCCCCATCTTTATCATTACCACCATTACTACCATATCATCACCACTACAGCAATCATCATCACTATAATCACCATCATCATTGTCAACATTACCATCACCATTGTCATCATTATCATCATCACTACCTTCTCAATCATCATCACCACCATCATCACCACACCCGTCCTACCTGGTATTGGTAGGCCCCTGGGCCTGGTTGATCCCATACACAGTAAGATGGCATCATTCTCCTTCATGAGGTCCCAGCCGTTGACATTCTTTCCTATCTCAGCGTTAGTCACAAACTTCACCCCTTCATCTTCCAGGAGTTTTAGTCTGCGCTCAATAGCCTGCAATGTTACAATGGAATGATTATAAATGCTGAAAACTAATTCTTCTCAAAATGTTTTGTTTGATACCCAAGTTATTACAATATCTATTTTAAATATATATCTACGATGTATGGTTTTCATGTACCGGTATTATATTTTTGAATAAAAAAGGGTTTCAAGAAGTCAACCAGAATACACCTACACTACTTCTTCACTGTTAAATTTCAATACTGCTATGCTAGCTGTGCACAATTTTCACAGCTAAACTATTATCTTAGATTATGAGATAACAATTTCAGCTGAATTTGGAGTGCATTCATAACTGATTGATGAAATTAGTGGCCCCAAATGGTTCATCTGACACATCTTCTGGTGACATTTGCTCTGTGCTTTACAATTACTTGGCTGGGGTTGTGTACATCCAGGGTGACAGGTGGAAATTTGAACGTTGTTAAGGTATTGACGAAGAGGGAAATTCTGCTACAGCATGTGCAGTACAAGCCCCAAATGGACTGAAATGAACTATTTTTTCCTTACACTTTTGCTCATCTTCATCGTAGGGATACCATACATGAGCAGGCCCCCACATCGGTCATTCCTCTCATAGACGGTCACTAGATGACCGGCCTTGTTAAGCTGGGCAGCTCCAGCCAGGCCAGAGGGTCCACTCCCGATGACCGCTACTCTCTTGCCGGTCCGGTGGAGAGGGGGCTCGGGGCGTATCCAGCCCTGCTCAAAGGCGTGGTCGATGATGGCACACTCAATGTTTTTGATGGTGACGGGTGGGGCGTTGATGCCTAGAACACACGCTCCCTGGAGGAACAAGAAAGATATACAATTGTACGTGTAAGCTAGACAAATAGAGTGAAGAAACTACCTCAACAGCCCTCTCCATCAAACGTTAATGTAGTTTGCTCAGCATTATGAGTGTCGGTAAAATGGAGCATGGTTGGAATTCTCTCAAGGAAACGTCGAATGTGCATACATTGTGGCGGGCAAGCCTGAATCCGATGAACGGGGTGATAATATATCTGTAATGCGCTTGGACGTTGTTAAAGTATGAAGCGCTATATTACCACAGAATACTATTAATAACTATCACCCTGAATTGCAGAATAGAAAGGCTGAACCCTTAGTATCATTGAAATTTAAAAGCGCTTGTGGAAGGTCGCTTACCTCACACGGAGCGGGACAGCATCTCCCAGTGAACTCTGGGAAGTTGTTGGTTGCAAGCAGTCTCTCGAGGGCCTCCTTCCACTGGTCTCTAAAGACGAGGTCATTCCAGGAGGGTATGATGTTACCCAGGGGACAGCCGGTGTGCGCCTGGCAGAACGGAGTACCACAGTCCATACATCTATGTGAAGAAAGTGGGAGGAAACAGATTAGAAAAAGGGACTGTGAATCACAAGGTATAGGGCTTGAATTTCTGCCACAACACTACTATCCTTAAGCCTTCATTAGTGTAGGTGCCACACTTGACCCAAACATACACTTGATCAAAGAATTCAGTCGTTACTGAGTTGAATTTATTTTAGAGTTATGATCTATATCGAAGCCCTTGGAATGTCATAGTCGAACGTGACAGACATGAGCGCTGAACAACAACAAGGGAAACGCTCTCGGCGGTCTCGCCTGCATTACGCAATTCGATATGATGAAAAATTGAGGTTGGAACATTATTTATAGGCAGGGTGGCCCATTAGCAGGCCCCCAAAAATGAAATCCTCTGAATATAATCAGCTTTTTGAAGTGAATATTGATTAAGAATCATGAACAAATAAGAAAAATTGATTCATTTATTCTCATATTAACTTGTGAAAACATAATCCAAGTCTACTGACCTAAAATGACCTTTGACCTTGTGACCTGGAATTTGTGTCATATGACTTGTGATACTTGATAACCCTTGGGTACAAGTTTCATGGAATTTGAACAAAGGCTTTTGAAAATATGCTAAAAATTCAAAATCTTGATGTTGATGCCACAAAAAAGTCTAAGTTTGTTGACCTAAAATGACCTTTGACCTTAACTTAGTGACCTGAATTCTGCTCACATGATTGGGGATACTTGATTACCCTATAATCCAAGTTTCATTGACTAAGAACTTATACTTTCAAAATTATATCAAAAATTCAAAAACTTAACCTTAGGTTAAGTTTTTGATGGTGACGCTGTCACCGCCGCCGCCATCACCGGAAAAGCGGAGAAGCGGCGCCTATGTCTCGCTTTTTTGCGAGACAAAAATCACTTTGTATCTAACAGACAAGATTTTTTTTAAATATGCACACAAAAAAATCTTCACTTAAATATCCAAGCTAGCATATGGAATAGAAGAGGTTCTACCTTGCTGCTTGGACTTTGAGTTGTTTCTTGACTCCTTTGTGATTGTAGATCTCACCCCAGTCCTTCATGCGTACTTCAACATCACGGTACTGATCATTGTTCCTTCCGTACTTCACAAAGCCTCTGAAACAAACAGGAAGAAAATAGATACATACTCTCAATTACACAGAAAGTGAACAAAATGGTATGTTCTTTTACTTATATGGTAAACATTACCCCCCCCCCCCCCCCTCCCTTTTCTCAAGAGTACAAGGTTTAGATCAGACAGCCTGACTGAGCCTATATTAATTGCCATGAGACAAATAAAAAGCAATTTTACAACAACACTCCTCATTGTGAACAAGTGAACAGAGCTTGATAGAGCATGATAGAACTTGTTAGAGATTTCAGGTAGCATTATGAACTTGTATCATATACATGTATGAAGAAAAAGCCACGATTTTCAGCACTTTGGGGGTTGACCGAGATATGCTCTGGTGACAACTGCACCAAGCTTTTTTTTTTTCTTTCAAAGATTTAGGTTTAAGCCCATGAAGTAACTGAGTTTCAGGATAGATTTAGGATTAGGTTTGAGAGTGTCGTGGTCGAGTGGTGTAAGGCGCTTGACTGGAGATGCGAAGGTCAAGGGTTCAAATCCCGACAAGGCACTAATATCCTTTGGCAAGATATTAACCTGCACTTGCTACTCTCCACCCAGGTGGGAACCCGGTAGGATGCGACCGTCATTGTTGGTCAAACAGTTTTTGAGAGTCAAGTAACGCCTGGCTGGAATGCTGCCCAGGGAGTGGAGATTGTGCACACAATGTGTGCGGGCAAGTAATGAATCCAATGACCGGTAATAGTATGTCTGTAAAGTGCTTATAGATATGGTAGATGTATTTAAAAGCGCTATATAAAAGCGGAAAATTATTATTATTATTATTAAACTTACCTGGTCTTATCCAAGACTCTCTCAATGGTCTTCTTCTCCTGCTCCAGGTCTGGGATGGTAGACTCAATGTCCGTCACCTTAGGCTCCTGCTTGACATGCCTGCCATCATCTGATCCATTCATCCCATTGGATGGTTGACCATTGGGGGCATGGCCATTGAGGGCGTGGCCATTGGTGCCATTGGTCAGACCGTTCTGAGGAAGCTCCGCCTCCTGCTTGGCCTTTTCCTCTGCAAGGGCTTTATCTCGCTTCTCCCGCAGAGCTCGACGGTACTCATTGGGGAAGACCTGGACAGTTGGTGGTGGAAAACAACCAGTCATGTTTACTTACATGTACATTTTCTTACAGCACAACAAGTGCTGGTGTATTTGCTGTCTTGCTTTTTATCGGTTTAAATGGTCACCTTCAAAAAAAAATTTAACTGCAGAACCAGAAACTTTTGTAAATAACAGCATTTAAGTCTTGTGATCCTTTGGTTTCATGGCCTCAAACTTTCCTGAATCTAGACGACTTGTAAATGCTTGAAACTTCTTGCACTTAAAAATTTCTGCTATTTATAAGTCAATTTTACAAAACATAAACTTTTAGCAATAAATAAATAGATGTTTGTTTTCTTTGTGCACACTTCCAATGGAAAGCTTGTTGGTACAAGACCAAAATTTCATTATAGATGTGGCAATCAAAGAAGCATGATGTTCTGCAGTTCTTGTTCTTTGCATGATTCTACAAGAAAGAACTGTGGCATCTCAATAGAGGCATGCAGTCTAGGACTAAAGACATCACTATTAACATGACACAAGGCCAGGAGCACTGATTTCCACAAGACTGGACACATCAAGAAGAAACTCCAAACACAACCTAAATGTATCATTTACCTTGACAAATCGTTGGCTCTCTGTTTCCCAGTTTTCCAGTATCTTGGTCGCGACCTTTGACCCAGTGTATGAGATGAACTCTGCTAGACTTTCCTTCAAGAAGGTGATGTCGATGTCTTTGACTAGTGGCTCAAGGACAACAGACTCTGTATTGCACTTCGGATAGAAATCATTCCAACTGAAATGCAGTTTAAAAATAAAAAGAAGAAAAGAAAATAAGAATGTAAGAATTCTACATTAAATGTGACCCGGCACCACAAAACCAACAAAAAGTCGCAAAAAATTATTTTCTTGATTTCATCTGATTATGAAAGAAGAAGTTCTCCTCATTAAAATGGTATATTACTTGTCCAAATTGAAGCTTCCTAACCCTTTCAATTTAGTGAATGAAAAGAGCTGGTGAGGGAGGTTACTGGTATTAAATTGTGAGAAAGAGAGCTTTAAAGTTTGGGGCTATTCAAGCATGCGGAGCAAGCAAACCACAGGGAAATCAATAGAAGGGTGAATCAAAAGGTTATAGCAACCACTATGAAGAGATTTTCAGATTAGGCTGAAATTTGGCCTGATGGTCAAACATAGTCTGTTCATTATGTTCCTGAGGTTTCAATGTGTGGACTTAAGTCTTTCAAAAGTTATTATGTTGTAAATGTATAGAGTTGTAATTGGACAGATTAAGTGAACTGCAACATAGTGCCGAGACACCTGCACTAGACAATGCCTATTCATGGTGGTCCCGGAGTCTTTTTGTTCCCCCTTACATAACACTGCTTGTCACCTATCTTGTTTTGTATACATCTGGGCAATTATTTGTAACCACATTATGAACTTGCTTAATTCCCATACTGTTTTCTTTCTCACAGGAGGTTCAAAGTATTTTTACTATGACTTGCTCTTTCATTTCCAGTAGCCATCCTGATGATAATTAATGGAAGCAATTCATAAATACCAGCCAGAAAGTGGTATAAAAATAAAGAAAGGCAGGAGACACACAGTAAAGACACCAACATAGAATAACGAAAAATAGAAAGAATGAGAGAGAGAGAGAGACAGAGAGGGAAAAGAAGGGGGAGAATTATGATAGCTGTAAGCAAAATGATGATATCAAGAGTGTGAATGTGTGTTTACAATAAGAACTTGATTTCAAAACTCTTATGGGAGAATAAATTTGGAAGCACAGAAATGAAAACAAAATTATTTAGGGAATGTCACAACTCTTTCTCAACCTGTATCACAAGTTTAAAAATGCAACAACTCTCTCTCATCCTTTATCACAAGTTTGAAAATGCAACAACTCTTTCTCATCCTGTATCACAAGTTTAAAATGCAACAACTCTTTCTCATCCTTTATCATAAGTTTAAAAATGCAACAACTCTTTCTCATCCTTTATCACAAGTTTGAAAATGCAACAACTCTTTCTCATCCTTTATCACAAGTTTGAAAATGCAACAACTCTTTCTCATCCTGTATCACAAGTTTAAAATGCAACAACTCTTTCTCATCCTTTATCACAAGTTTAAAAATGCAACAACTCTTTCTCATCCTGTATCACAAGTTTAAAATGCAACAACTCTTTCTCATCCTTTATCACAAGTTTGAAAATGCAACAACTCAAGCTACTCGAAGTCGTTAACGGAGAATATAAGACGAACGCAAATCTGGAACTCGGATGTGAAAGCGGATACAAACAAAATGGCGCGCCGCACTGATTGCTATAACGGACCAATCACAGCCCGCGTAGCACGACCCGTTAGCAACGACCGACCATTTCCGGACTACGATAATTTCGCTCGGGAACAGTGATCAAATTTTGGAAGAGACCGAAGGCTGTGCGAAAAAAACTGGTCTAGAAAAACCGTTTAAAACACATCTTCTACTATGTTTTAGACTTCCAAATTTTGATACTAGGTACAGAAAAGACCACTCTTTCAGAAAATGCAAAAAAACAAAAATCTATTTTTTTCACCTAAATTGACATTTTAGCTGATTACGGAGAATCGCTGGTTGCGACTTTTTGTTGGTTTTGTGGTGCCGGGTCACAAATGTACACTGGATGCATAGAGAGATGGCCGGCCAGTCACAACCATGGATAGAGAGAAAGACTGAGAGACGAAATAGGGTAATTTGGCACATGGAAGTACAGATGTATACCTGAATCAAAGGTACAAATTCTGTCAATATCTTACATTATTCATAATGCATTTCTATCTGACAGAAAATTACATTGACACTTAACAAAAAATTGTGTAAATAATGAGATTTCAAGCAGGAAATTCATCAGGATGGGCGGTCTCTTGATTTAAAGAATTATGATTTTCTTAGAAAATTTACAAGACATGACATATAACCTACTAGGCAACATCTCCTATAGCTTGCACCCAAGAAGATCTGGAAGCACCTACCCCCTGCAAGATACAATGCAGCCAAAACAGGTTTGTGGGGTAGTGACTCTCGAAGAAAAAATCTACCTGGTGCAGGAGAGCATAAAAACATGAACATGGTTCAATGATCTTATACTTACACATTATAGACATAGGCGATACCACCTGACATGCCTGCAGCAAAGTTCCGTCCAGTAGCTCCTAGAATAATGGCTCGTCCTCCAGTCATGTACTCACAGCCGTGGTCTCCTACGCCCTACAAAACAAATCATCACAACAGTCTATCAGGGCCCCGTCTTACAAAAGAGTTGATATCAATTGCAGCTATGTACATAAGAGATAGGAGACTCCAAACTTGCGATGACATGGATAATAATATCTGTAGACTGCTCAGAGGCATTATTAATAATAATAATAATAAATTTATATAGCGCAGCTTTCATTTAAACTATATTCAGCTGAGCTGGTTCAGATCTATTTTTTTTTTACTAAATTCTACAAATAAAGAATCTCTCAATTGAACAAATATGTTTTTAATTTGGATTTTAAGACATAGAGAGATGGAGTGCTTCGTATTTCTATTGGCAAGCTATTCCATAGCTAGGGGGGGGGGGGGGGGCAGCAATAGCAAAAGCATGGTAACTGAGAGTCGCTTTAGTTTTGCCATTAGGAATCTGGAACAATAATTTATCTGCGGTACTGTGCAGTGTGACTGGACTTTGAGTTGAAGTAATTCTGTTATGTAACTAGAAGATTGACCACTCAATGATTTATAAACAATTAACACAATTTTGAATGAAATTCTTCGACAGACTGGAAACCAGTGGAGCTCTCTCAAAAGAGGTGTGGTCGAGGTGAATTTTGACCAACGATAGATTATCAAGATTAATATCATAATTAATTTCATTAACACTAACATTAGATATGAGCTATTCACTGCAATATGTAATAAAGAAGATGTCCTACCTCACAGATTGCAAGAGCTCCCGAGTTCCTGACGCAGAAACGTTCAGCAGTCCACCCCCTGAAGAAAGCCTTCCCACTGGTGGCGCCATATAGGCACACATTGCCGACGATGATGTTGAGTTCAGACACGAAGGCTTCGGGTATGTTACGGTGAGGGTAAACAATCACCGTGCCACCAGACAGGCCCTTGGGGAGAATGAGAGGTTGGGATTATTAATCTTCTCAAAGAGGATCACTTTTGTCCACGGCAGTACCATGGTGAGTAATAACATTCAGGTATTAGGTAATTTGAAATGGTTATGTAAATTGCAATCCAACGACTGCTTTATTTTCTATCAAGTTGGATGCAAATCTCTTTACAAGAGCTACACAATTTCAACTAACTACTGTAAAAAACAAGCATTAGCAATGTACAATGCAAGCATGCATCATCATCACCTCCACCACCATCATAATAATCATCATCATCATCAGTATCATCACTACAATGAACACTGAAGCCAGAAGGGCGTTAATTCCTACACAACAATACAAAATTAACAGATCAAATTATTGTATCATCATCATCAAATGTTACTTGATATTATGATAAATCAATCATGAATGCCTTTAGAGAAGCCAGGGTATTCAGCTTAAAGACCAATGACTTCTACATGAACACCCTTGGCCAGGAAAGCTTCTTCTTACCTTTCCTACATAGTCATTGCAATCACCTTCTAGCTCTACATGAACACCCTTGGCCAGGAAAGCACAGAAGCTCTGGCCGGCTGAACCAGTCAACTTGATCTCAATCGACTTGTCTGGAAGGCCTTTCTCACGATACTTCCTGCAAAACAAGAGTAGAAAAATTATATAAGTTTCTTCTTTCTATGTTGATAACTTATTGTCAAACATCATTATCATTGCAACAAAAAACATTATGATCACCATTACCACCACCACCGTCGTCGTCGTTATCGTCATAATCATCATCATCATCACATCATCATCATCACCATCATCATCATCATCACCATCACCGTCACCATCATCATCATCACCACCATCATCATCACCATCATCCTCACCATCATCATCATTATCATCACCCTCATCATCACCATCATCATCATCATCCTCATCATCATGACCATCATCATCACCATCATCATCATTACCGTCATCATCATCATCATCGACATCATCATCACCATCATCATCATCATCGTCACCATCATCATGACCATCATCATCATGACCATCATTACCATCATCACCATCATCATCATTATCATCACAATCATCATCATCACCATCATCATCACCATCATCCTCACCATCATCATCATCATCATCACCCTCATCATCACCATCATCATCATCATCATCATCCTCATCATCATGACCATCATCATCATGACCATCATCATCATTACCATCATCATCATCATCATCATCATCATCGTCACCATCATCATCATTATCATCATCCTCATCATCATTACCATCAACATCATCGTCACCATCGTCATAACCATCATTATCACAAGCATCAACGCCATTACCATCGTCATCATCATCATCATTACCATCATCATCATCATCATCATCATGAAGACCGTGTAAAGAATCTATTGATGACATTACCTTGAGATGTGAAAGCTGAGGGTGGTTCCGAAGGCTCTGGATTCATTGGTGATGTCCATGTTTATCTTAACTTGCTTGCTAGTTCCCTTCAGAACATCACTCGCTCTTTCTATCAACAAATTGTCCTGTAGGGTAGCAAGAATGGGAAAGCAAAAATGTGATTACAACTCATTTGAAGCTCTGGAAATGGACATTTTGTGAGTAGTTCTGAATTGTTAAGTAAATTGATAACTTCAGATTTTTATGCACAATGTGTCACAATTCAATACACCCTTTTAGGGTTACAACAGTGCGCGTGCACATACATGGGTGCCATTTTAAATTACAATTTAAATTACATTACAAAGTTGTTTACTTGTAAATTAAAATGGGGCCCATGTAAATACGATGTGAGCGGACAGTGCAGGCAGTGACGCAGCAATATATGCGCATCTGAAAACATTGTTGACGCAATGTTTACGCGCAAATTAAAATGGCGGCCTTAACCGTAAAAGGGTGTATTGCTCCAGGCAAGTCAGTCTTAGTAGCATTCCAAATTAATGAGTTCAGAAATCTTGTATGCAGCAAACAGAGGAGAAAAACACATAGCTGATATCGAAGAGCATTCAGGTTGCTGCAAGATGACCATTTCTTTTGATTAACTTCCCTTCCAGGGGTGGATATTTTCAAATCTTTGCGCGGTAACTGCACAGACCCTTCAGTCATAAAGGTACATTATACTCTAGTTCAGTGTTCAACAAAACATCCTTTAACGTGTGAATACCCGAGTGAAGTCAAATTCTTAATGGGAACACACATGCTTAAGTCTTTAAACAGTACATGGACTGTTCTCCTGAAACATAAGAAAAGTATATTTAATTTCTCACCAATCTTTTGTCCAGGGAAAAGTCCTGCTTAGCAGTGCCTCCGATGTGCCTGGCACCGGGTCGAAGGTCAGAAGCCTTGGTCAGTACCTGGTCAAAGTTAAGAAGCTTGCTCTTGCCATTAGTCTTCTCCTGGACAGGCTGGAGCATGTCACATCGACCAATCATCTCCTACAAGAATGACGCAAGAAGAAGTGATAGATCAGTAAAAACAAAATAAAAAATCTTTCTTTTACAGAGTGTTCAATGACAATAACATGAACTTGTTGCTGCTTGGTATTTTGTGGATTCTGAGAGAAAATTTGAAGAACATTGTATTACAATACGCTTTCATGAATTGCCCTGTTATTGTTCTATGTACAGATCATAAGAATCTATGTGGGCTAAGGCACCTGACTGGAGATGCAAAGGTCGAGGGTTCAAATCCCGACACGGCACCAATATCCTTTGGCAAGATATTAACCTGCACGTGCTACTCTCCACCCAGGTGTTAAATGGGTACCCGGTAGGATGCGGCTGTCATTGTTGGTCAAACAGTTTTTGAGAGTCAAGTAACACCTGGCTGGAATGCTCCCCAGGGAGTGGAGATTGTGCACACAGTGTGTGCGGGCAAGCACTGAATCCAATGACCGGTGTATGTGTAAAGCGCTTAGAGAAATTTGTATTAAGCGCTATACAAAAGCTAAATATTATTATTATCTTATTAGTGATAAAAGCCGAGCAGAAGTACATGGCTAGAATTGTTCAATGTAAGAAAGTTGGACACTGTCCACAATCCCACTGGCCCTTATGTGTGAGAGGAAAAGGCAGCAACTAAAGACAATCATAAAATATGCAGTGTCAAATTTGCTGATTGGACTATTCACTCCTAATTCTATCCTTCATCCAACTGTTTGATCGGCACATTATCTTTTTGGCAGAATAATTCCATCCTTATTTTCCACAGGGTTGTCATGGCTAATCAAGATTGTAAAATTTGTAATTTTGCAAAGACATTGTATTCCACAAAGTCATCCATCCGTCAATAGGTGCCTATAGTTTTGTGCAGAATTGTATTTATGGCAATCGAGCGACTGTGCAGGGAGGCAAAGAAAGCAAGCAGAGGGTTATATAGGTTAAATGCAAACAAACCTGGAAGGTTCTGAATCCCATCTGTGCCATGTGAGAACGGATCTCCTCTGCAAGCATGAAGAAATAGTTGACAACATGCTCAGGTTGACCCTCAAACTTCTTCCTCAATTCAGGATCCTACCAAACATAGAGAAAATAGTGATTAGAACAAACATGGATTGCAACATGACATCCATTAATAATTACAGGTAAAGAAAAATAACAATGAGTAACACTTTGTCAACATCAGGAAGTTTAGACTACATACATGTACATGTAAATTGTCATGATTATATGAAGATTAAATATCATATAGCCCTGAAAAAATATTTCCACATTGTCAATATCATCAATGCTATCATTATCATTATCACTGTTGTCATCATAACCACAACAAACTCATTTCTGTCCTCCTCCTCCTCCTCCTCCTCCTCCTCCTCCTCCTCCTCCTCCTCCTCCTCCTCCTCCTCCTCCTCCTCCTCCTCCTCCTCCTCCTCCTCCTCCTCCTCCTCCTCCTCCTCCTCCTCCTCCTCCTCCTCCTCCTCCTCCTCCTCCTCCTCCTCCTCCTCCTCCTCCTCCTCCTCCTCCTCCTCCTCCTCCTCCTCCTCCTCCTCCTCCTCCTCCTCCTCCTCCTCCTCCTCCTCCTCCTCCTCCTCCTCCTCCTCCTCCTCCTCCTCCTCCTCCTCCTCCTCCTCCTCCTCCTCCTCCTCCTCCTCCTCCTCCTCCTCCTCCTCCTCCTCCTCCTCCTCCTCCTCCTCCTCCTCCTCCTCCTCCTCCTCCTCCTCCTCCTCCTCCTCCTCCTCCTCCTCCTCCTCCTCCTCCTCCTCCTCCTCCTCCTCCTCCTCCTCCTCCTCCTCCTCCTCCTCCTCCTCCTCCTCCTCCTCCTCCTCCTCCTCCTCCTCCTCCTCCTCCTCCTCCTCCTCCTCCTCCTCCTCCTCCTCCTCCTCCTCCTCCTCCTCCTCCTCCTCCTCCTCCTCCTCCTCCTCCTCCTCCTCCTCCTCCTCCTCCTCCTCCTCCTCCTCCTCCTCCTCCTCCTCCTCCTCCTCCTCCTCCTCCTCCTCCTCCTCCTCCTCCTCCTCCTCCTCCTCCTCCTCCTCCTCCTCCTCCTCCTCCTCCTCCTCCTCCTCCTCCTCCTCCTCCTCCTCCTCCTCCTCCTCCTCCTCCTCCTCCTCCTCCTCCTCCTCCTCCTCCTCCTCCTCCTCCTCCTCCTCCTCCTCCTCCTCCTCCTCCTCCTCCTCCTCCTCCTCCTCCTCCTCCTCCTCCTCCTCCTCCTCCTCCTCCTCCTCCTCCTCCTCCTCCTCCTCCTCCTCCTCCTCCTCCTCCTCCTCCTCCTCCTCCTCCTCCTCCTCCTCCTCCTCCTCCTCCTCCTCCTCATCATCCTCTTCATTATCATCATCCTCCTCCTCATCATCACCATCATCACCATCATCATCATCACTCTCACTCTCACCACCACCACCACCACCACCACCATCATCATCAACATTCTGACATACAGACCTGAGTAGCCACTCCTACAGGGCAAGTGTTAAGATGGCATTTCCTCATCATGGTACATCCCATTACAATAAGAGGCGTGGTGGAGAAAGCGAACTCATCTGCCCCTAGAAGAGCTGCTACGATCACGTCATGACCTGGCAATGGAAGAGTCAGTAATTGAAGTGAGGTTTTATTTCAGGTGATTTACTAATCATTGTGAATTTGGTCAAATGATGGCCAAGTATAAGGCACCAAAATGTAAAACAACAGAGTAAAGACTTCATTGCTTCACAACCAAGGATATCCACAGGGGGACAATGCAGCAGGCATATGTGGCTTGGACATAGTCAAGACATTTCATGGACTGCCTGTCAAGTTTGCTTGTTATTCAGCTCCTACACATTTTATTTCAGAATCATCCAATAGTTTCTTTTCATTCATAGATATTTGGGTATAGCTATGCTAGATTCTATAATAAGAATATAATTTTGATTGTCACCAGACCTCAAGATTACATTACAACATCCAATCATATATAGAAGTCTTTCACACTCTCTCTCTCTCTTTCTCTCTCTCTCTCTCTCTTTCACACTCTCTCTCTTTCACACTCTCTCTCTCTTTCACACTCTCTCTCTCTTTCTCTCTCTCTCTCTCTCTTTCTCTCTCTCTCTCTCTTTCATTCTCTCTCTCTCTCTCTCTCTCTCTCTTTCTCTATCTCTCTCTCTCTCTCTCGCTATATTAATAATATTAATAATAATAATATGTCTTGTTTACCCAGGGTAGCCTCATCAGTATTCATACTGTTCTCCCTGAGGGCCCTGCAATCATATTATTACCCCGGTAATCGGATTTGAGCTTACCCGTACACAATGTATGCACATTCTCCACTCCCTGGGGAGCATTCCAGCCAGGCGTCATTTTTACAATCGTACATTTGCTAATCTAAGCACATTAGCTTTCGCATCCTACTCTCTCTCTCTCTCTCACACAATCACTAACCTGTCCTCAGCTGGCCGTCTGTCTGCAGGACGACCCTTGACCTAAGGTCATTGAGAACCAAAGTCTGATGAGTCTCTGCTAATCCGAGTTCCCATGGCAACCCAGCGTGTTTGATTCCGGTCCATGTGCTAGCCCCCGTCCCTCCGTCGTGGCCTGAGATGGTGATGTGTTCAGCTTTACCCTGTCATAGAAGGAATGTTGTGAACCAGGGAAAATACTTTAACAATTTTGGGGGCTACTTTTCAAGCTTGCTTGCATGAAAATAACACTCTTTATTTTGTTTTGCATTGAACTCTATGCAATTTTGCGGGGCTCTTTTATGACTTTTGGGGGCTCTTATTGGAATTTCAGGGGGTTAATTCGCCGAGCCCCCGTGTATTTTTTCCCTGTTGTGAACAGTCAACATATTGGCCTGATATCATGAGAGAGAGATTCTAATTCCTTGGTTTAAACCTCCATGATGATCATCATGCCCCATGGGGCAGGCAATGATACATACACTGTATATACAACGCCTATTTACACTAATTTGTGTCCATGCTGGAAGTTGGAATCATGATTTTGAAGATGATTTAAATTCAAAGTGACCCTAACTTCGGGCCCTAAAAACTTCCTGCATAAAAAGATTGACCTCCAGACGGCTGGGTTGCTTAAACAGTCTTACAGATAGGAACGTGGAGATTAAGCCTAACATAACCCCCCCCCCCCCCCCATACCCTGTTTGTTTCCCCCTTCTATAACATGGGATATTTTTAAGGATGTCTACTGGTATTAAAGCCTAATCAATCAACAGTTAACCTACTTTCACAACTATGGTGAAACGTGAAATAGTCAATTTACTTTACTTCTCTTTAGGGAGAATTATAAAAATCTTGGTTGATACCCCCAGCCTAAACACCCAAAACATTAAAAACTGATTATCTACAAGGTTTTGGCCATCCAGGTGACATATTACGTTGTGCCTATTGTGTATAGATGGTGTGGGGTTAGTATCTTTGGAGTGAGTGACTGCAGTATGACATTACACGGGTCACTGAAATAAAACCTCACCTTGGCAACCCCAGCAGCGACGACCCCTACGCCGACCTCTGACACAAGCTTGACACTGATCCTGGCCTCCGGGTTGGAGCACTTGAGATTGTAGACGAGCTCTGCGAGGTCCTCGATGGAGTAGATATCATGATGAGGGGGCGGGGAAACCAGCCCCACTCCGGGGATGGAATACCTGGTGGAGGCAATGGCTTCGGTGACCTGTGAGAGAGAGAGAGAGAGAGAGGGAGAAAGGTAATGAGGTTAATAAGTGGGCATTCATTGATAAGGTCAAATCATTGTACCTAATTTTTTTCATGAATTCCCACAAATCTTTTTTGTGTTTAATAGAACTAAGTCTGCGCCTAAAATTAAGACCAGTGTCAGGTACGAAAGCGAGTTTGAGAACACTCTTGATAATTTGCTAGTCAAAATGAGATATGAACCCCCCCCCCCCCTCTCCCTCACTATAACAAACATAAAACTAGATGGAACTTCGACTGCACGCAGTCGAAATGATGCCTCCATCATAGAGCAATTTACAAACCAAAACAGAAGAAATTTTTCAAATTCAAGTTCAATTGTAATCCATTAACAGGTTCTCAGAATATCATGATTACAAGCAATTTCTCATATACATATCTGACCCTTTGATCTTTGACCTCATGACCCTAACATCTACTCAGTTCATTGGCTCTGCAAGATGTCCCGAGTTAAATAGTAATCTATCTGACAGTTCTAATGAGAATGCGTTCACAAACTATTTTTGCATACATGAGCTGCATGACCTTTGACCTTGACCTCATGACCCCAAAATCTTATCAGTTCATCGGCTCTGCAAGTAACATACATGACCTAAGTTTGGCAGGAATCCATCGATCAGTTCTTCAGATAACGTGATCACGAGCTGTTTTTGCATACATAATGAGCCCTGTGACCTTTGACCTTCGACCTCGTGACCCTAAAATCTACTCAGTTCATCGGCTCTGCAAGATACATACATGACCAAAGTTTGGCAGGAATCCATAGATCAGTTCTTCAGATAACGCGATCACGAGCTGTTTTTGCATACATAATGAGCCCTGTGACCTTTGACCTTTGACCTCGTGACCCCAAAATCTAATCAGTTCATCGGCTCTGCAAGATACATACATGACCAAAGTTTGGCAGGAATCCATCGATCAGTTCTTCAGATAACGCGATCACGAGAACGGGACGTACGGACGGACGGACGGACAACCCGAAAACATAATGCCTCCGGCTACTTCGTAACGGAGGCATAAAAACAAAATAACAACCAGAAAAATAGACAAAAATGGGCAGCACTGGAGACAAGAGTTAGGGTTTGTCATACTCTCCTTATGCAGGCTTGAACGCCTTACCTTATATCCTGGCAGTTCACCCCCTTCTCCTGGCTTAGCACCCTGGGCCATCTTGATCTGCAGCTCATCCGAGTGGGCCAGATAGGAGCTGGTCACACCAAACCTCCCTGAAGCTACCTGCTTGATAGCTGAGCGGGTGTTATTCAGGGGGTCCTCCGTGTGCAGGTACCGGTCTTCATTCTCCCCGCCCTCTCCCGTATTACTCTTGGCACCAATCCTGCAGGGCAATGAGAAAAATAATCCAATGAATTGATGAAAGATTCTACATTGCAATGTGCAATGCATGGAGATGTAGACTTTGTGGATTACATTTTCATGTTTTGAGTGGAAGCAGTAGCTTACTCTAAGAGCTTAAAGACCTACAGAGTTGTTTGTAATCTGGTCAAATTAGTCTGATTAAATCTGACAGAGAAGTGTTTTTCTCATCAGTGATCAGATCATATATATTTACTCTGGATCTATTTGCTACTCCCTTTTATTTCATTAAAGAGATAGCATCAGAAATGTTAAGTTGTGCGAAGTTTGAGATTAGGCTAAAATAAGTGCTGGGTACACGGTTTTTGTATTGCAGAAATCTACATGTGCTAGATATGAACCGCAGGGCAATTATTGCTGGAGCATGTGTCATATACCCCTAATTGATGTCAGAGGTAATAAACTACTCTGACTACACATTTCAATTAATTTTATCTGTCCAAGTTAAATATCAAGGAAATGTTACATGGAACCTTTTACAAGCAATAACAACAAAATATGGGTAACAGTAACGATCAAAATGCGTACATGTAAGTGATAGATATACATAGGCGCTGTCATCTTAGAAATTGAAGAGTAAAACTACTCATAGCATGAGCACTAAGAAAGAGTAAAAGGTGAAAGAGGGTGCATGGAGGAAAAAGGACAGAACATTAAGGTGAGGAAGGGAAGGGAATGAGACGAAAGAAGAGGAAGGATATAGAGAGGGATGGGTTGGCTCACCTGTTCATAGCCTTTGCCAATGTACTATGAGCCTCTATGGAGAGACTACCAAAGCTCATGGCACCGGTGTTGAACCTCTTGACTATGGAAGCAGCTTCCTCCACCAGGGAGAGGTCAAGCGGCTCAGCACTCTTCACCATCTCAAGTTGACCTCTCAGGGTACACATACGCACCTGTGGAATAAGATTTCACAATTATAATTATAGGCATTTCTATAGCGCCGTCTATCTAGAAATTCTATTCCAAGGCGCATTAATTATTACCCCAGCTTTAGCCTAGCTGCCATTACAGCGCTCTAGCATTTCAAGGAATTGATTCCTGCCAGGTACCCATTTACCTCACCTGGGTCGAGTGTGGCAAAAGAAGATTAATGCCTTGCCAAAGGACATTAGTGCAGTGCCGGGAATTGAACTACGACCTTTGAATTTCAAGTCAAGAGCTTAAACCACTCGACTACGACACTTGTACCAAAGACAAACTCAAACTCGCAACATCTCTAGTTGACCTCTCAGGGCACACATGCGCTCCTGGGAATACTTCAGTCAGAAATAGGAGTATGTTACTCAGTTTTCGACTTAGATGAAATACTTAGCCAACTTCAGTATTCAGTTGATGCTTCTGGCTAAGTATATTACCCTAAATACAAGACAGCTCCCTAGCAGACTTAAAGATAAAGACCAGTTATGGTCATGCCATTGCATTGTGAAAGAAATCTTGTGGAATCGATTAGAAAAGGTTGATCATCTAGCATATAAGTATTGGTGTGTACTGCAAGGTTCCGGAATCATCAAAATGATAAGCAATTTGGCCCAGTCTTCGTAAAGTTACAAGCACTGTACACAAAAAAATGTATATGGGACTACGCACACGTGCGCGACACATGCGTCTATCTCTCACATAACAATAGATAAACTAATTTACTGGTCTTTACCTTTAAGCAAATTATTTTGGAAGCATTGATTGGAGAATCTTTGGAACTTCATTACTTCCACACACAGCCTGATCAAGAAAACTTGAACCATGCAAAAACAGTTGCAAATTACCACTATTTCTAGTTAGCAAATAACTGAAGAGCATTTAATTTGTAGGTAACAAACAACTGCAGCACTAATCTACTTGCCCGTAGGAGACTTACCGATTCTTTCTGTGACTCTACAAACTTCTGATAGGCATTCTGATTCTTGTTACGTGCAGCATCCTGCAGGTTTGCAATGCTGACAGGATCGTTGACGTGCTTCTCACCCCCATCACGCCAATGGTACGATCCACCCTCCAGGTTACTAGATATGTCTCCTTGAGCCTCTGCATAAGCCATTCTGTGCCTCTCAAAAGCCTATATGGAACAAGGAAAACAGAGTCACAGTACTAGTACACTGAAGAAGCTCTCATTTTTCATGAATGTGAAAACAACTTGTGAAAACGTCTTTGCCACTGTCATACCTGGAAATGTCTTCACGCAAAAGACATTGCAGTAAATAACTCTACTAGTTACCCTAATAATACACTTACAGTGTATAGAATTACATAGTAACAAATTCAACACACAAGTTGTTGAATTAAAATTCATAAAAGGCTGCATACAACGGACTGCCAGCCTAAAAACTCTAGGGGTTTGGGGTCATTTTTTAATACTCGTTATTTTAGTCTAATCAAAGGACAAATTTTATCAACGAACACACGGTTAGTGAGAGATCCCATTTCCTTCTACCTTTCATCATCAACCATCTTTTTATCAACTATGGTACCTTTGACCTTTGACCTTTGACCTTACCTCTTCAGCCAGGATCTCAAACGTGGCTCCACCAAGCCTAGATGCTGTTCCTATGAAGCACTTGTCGACCACCTCCTCGGCGAGACCAACTGCCTCAAAGATTTGAGCTCCCTGAAACGAGATGATGAGAGGAATTCATAAGACATCTAAGACAAACATGTTCCATACCTTCCAACTTTTCACAGCAATAACTAGGAGTCTCTCAAGGCAAAATTAGGAATACCGTCCATTTTGGATACTTTTAACACAGAATATTTAAAAAAAGTGAGTAATCTAGGGTTCAAATCAAAAGCTTGAAGGCTGATAAATAGGAATCAATCCTCTAAAATAGGAATGGTTGGCAGCTTTGATGTTCATGTGATAAGAAAGATTTCTAATGTCACGTTACTGAAACTTTGCTGCAGTCAAAACCCTAAATGCGTAACTGATCGCAACTGACACAGATAGGCCCAACGCCAGGCAACAAAATATCTCTTTTTCTTCCTTTCCATTTAGTGTGTGCTGCTTGTTACTACACTAATGCTTCATTTCCCAGCTTATCCAAGCCTTACATTATAACTCTGCAGAAATGACATGTTCCTCTTTATTGTAACTTTAGACAAATCCTTCTCGGTATCATCCAAATACCTAAGCTGATTATGTGCCACATTCCCAGACCCTCCAGCCTTGCCTTGTACCTTTACAGGAGAGAGATGTCCATCTTGGCCATTGCCTTGGGGATATTCTTCTCTGTCGCTGCAATGACCCTCTGCTGAATATCCTTTTAAGGCCCAATCTGTAGCTCTTTATAAATACTATTAATAATAATGCTTTATAAATAATAACCTCTTGCTGCTTTTAATCCCAATCTCACCTTGTAACTCTGGAGGAGTGAGATGCCCATCTTAGCCATCACCTTAGCGATACCCTTCTCAGTCGCGGCAATGACCCTCTGCTGAATCTCCTTGGGTCCGAATTCCACTCCCAAAAGGCTCTGCTCATGGAGGCTAATCAGGCACTCGTACAGGAGGTAGGGACAGATCGCATCCGCACCATAACCTAGCAACAGGCAGAGATGGTGCATCTCGCGGGCCTCTCCCGTCTCTACGATGAGACCGACGTGAAGACGCTGTCGGGTCTTGATCAGGTGGTGGTGGGATGCCCCCAAGGCTAGCAGAGGGCTGGATGATGGGTAAGCATAGGTAACAAACATAAATTACAATGTCAATGCTGAAAAATTTCCATTCCAATAAATGCTCAAGATCAGATGTCAAACAATTTCATTTGTTTGAGCAAATATGCCAAAAATACCAAAAACACCCCCCAAAAAATAATTCCAATAAGTATCTCAAGAAAAACTTAAAATACTATTCCTCTGATTCTGAGTAGAGAATCAAACTTAATACATGGGGGTTTACATAGATCAACATCACATCGCCAAATTAGACTACAATAGTGGTCAAATACCTGACTGGCACTCTTTCTGGACCTGCAGCTCTGTCGGACAAGACCAAAAGAGTATAGCCCTGCTCTGTTGCCTCGGAACACTCTGCACAGATCCGGTCTATCGCTGGGACCAGTCCTGCATATCCAGCTTCCACAGGGAAAGTGATGTCAATGGTCTTAGTCTATAGAAACAGAGATAGAACAAAAGAGAATATATAAAACCAATGAATTACACCATACACATTGATTCAGACGACCGCTTCACCCCACTCCCTACATGAACCTAGATGTCCCTGTAGTAAGCCTCCTCTTCACCCCACTCCCTACATGAACCTAGATGTCCCTGTAGTAAGCCACCTCTTCACCCCACTCCCTACATGAACCTAGATGTCCCTGTAGTAAGCCACCTCTTCACCCCACTCCCTACATGAACCTAGATGTCTCTGTAGTAAGCCTCTGGTAATGAGAGAATTGAGTAATCAATGGGTTAACTTAATACAAGTAACTGCTGTAATCAAAAGCAGCACATGAATGTCCATCCACCTAAGTCCAATAAGTGTATCTTAAAATGGAATCAACCCTTTGTAAAAAACAGATCAACAAACCAGAGGAACAGAATAGTGTCACTTTGGACAAAGCACAAAACAGAAAAGGTAGGAATTTTGAAAGTTGAGATCACAAATTAATTAGAAATTCTCCTATCATTTTATTCTGATTTATAATATCACACACAAAGATAGCCCATCACTACTAGATAACACATTTTCTCATTTATGATGGCTCAGGCAGATCTGTACATGATATATCATTGGTTACTTAATGTCAAGATGTAAATAATCATTATTTTCAGAATAACTATTTTGTTTTAAAAAGGGGCAATGAGAACTTTGTACTAAACAAATAGCGCAATTTTTCTTTCTCCCATCTTCTAAAAGTCTCCCCAATCTGTTTCTCTTAACTTTTCTTCCTCAACTCAAACCCAACATAAAATGAATGGTTTGATTCTGCTTATTTTATTCTGATTCGCTCAACCACTCCAATGATACAATACCAACCTTCCATGTGCGAAGAGATGTGTCTTTGATGATCTCAAGGTCGTGCAAGGTCAAGACGGGAGTTTCTAAAAAGAGACGGTTGCACTGCTTCTCGCTTGGCTCCAAGATGTTGTCTTCAGGGCCGATAGGGCATGCCTAATTACAAAAAGAGTAATGTTGTCATTTTATTTTTAAAGTAAAAACTACATAACAAAAGGTCAAGGGAGATAAGAAAAGTGGTCTTTACACACATAATTATAGATCTTATATAGCGCCTAACACTTACTTTATCAGAAGTCTCTAAGCGATCTACAAATAATGCAGCATAATTACCCTGGCTTAAGCAGTGCAGCTGTTACGCGCGCTAAGTTTCAAGGAATAAATTCCTACCAGGTACCCATTTACTTCACCTGGGTGGAGTGTGGCAAATGTAGATCAATGTCTTGCCAAAGGACATTAGTGCAGCAGCGGGACTTGAACTGCGTACCTTGTGATCGACAGTCGGGTGACGTATCCACTCGACCACAACACCTCTACATGATCCTTTTTATACAGTTTTCAATGAGCACTGTCCAAGAGAAACGCGCTCTTCCTGATTGATGATCTGTACAGATGGGCACTATCAAAATCAAGTTAGATTGAAGTTTCTACTTCTTGTCGCTGCCTTTTGGCATTTTGTTTTACCGTGCCTGATAAAAATTGTGTCAGATCATATTTGATTGCAAAGAGTCTCAGTTAATGCCCCAAAGATCTAGGAAGTTGCATTGTTGTAGTTGTAGAGGTGTTGTGGTCGAGTGGATAAGTCATCGTACTAACGATCACAAGGTCTGCGGTTCGAGTCCCACCACGGCACTAATGTCCTTTGGCAAGATATTGATCTACATTTGCCACACTCAACCCAGGTGATGTAAATGGATACCTGACAGAAATTAATTACTTGAAATACTAGAGCGCCGTAATGGCCGCCTTGCTAAAGCCAGAATAATAATCAAGGCAGCACCAGGAGTGTCATGACATGACAGACATATGCGCTATATAAGAAGACATCATTATTATTATAATTGATTCTCACCAGTGACATGACGATACTCTCCCTGATGGGATCAATAGGTGGGTTGGTGACCTGGGCAAAGAGTTGCTTGAAGTACTCAAAGACCAATGGATTACGCTGAGACAGGCAAGCCAGAGGCGCGTCGTTACCCATAGATCCTAGGGGCTCTTTCCTGGTTGGAAAAAACAGGAGGATAAAAATGATAGTTTCCTGAAAAAACAGAAGAATAGCAGGATAATAACCTGATAATGGCATTTAACAAAACCAGAGCAAGTCCACTTACCAATTTATGCTTCGAGGCTCATTATTTCACAATCTTTCAGTCACATGGATACATTGCTTTCAAACCTACCTGTTGTAAAGTAAAATACTACAGACTACAGAAGAGAGTAGTCTGTTTGAATAAAAAATGCAAAATCTTTTTCCTGCAAAATTACATGCAAAGGGGTAAGATGGTTTACAGAAAATCTATGAACACATGCTCTTTTCTGTTACAATCTCATCTTCCTGTTACATGGTACCTTGCCACTTTCTCACTGGTTCTTACTTTGAATGGTTGTATCATGGATGGCACATGCTCCAGCGACGATTATTCCGTGATCAATATCCTAATCCAAATGAGTCCTCAATGTCGGCTCTAGATTGAACACTATACCAAACCCTAATCCTATACCTTACTTAAAATCAAATTGGAAACCTAACCTTGACATTTGCATTTGATGAAATAAAACTTGGGAGTAATCATCACTGTAGCATGTGTCAAAAGAACATCCATTTAAAATTGTTAAGACATCTCAAAAACACTTCATTTCACACATATCACACTTGACACATCATGCAGTAGACATTATTGTCAACAAACACGCAAACAAAAGAAATAAGAAAGGGGGAGAAAAAAAGCTTCCGTCTTCCTGTAGATCTATCCTAGCCAAGACTTCAGGTTCCTGTATTCGGACCTATGAAGAAGCAGGAATGACAGCGGCCACAGGGAGGGATGGAAGGAGAGCAGTTCTTCAGGCTAGCTTACTTGTTCTTCACCATTGGAACGAGAAGCAGGTTGATATGCTCCACGCTATAGCCAAACATGGAGAGACGATGATCGGACTGGACGGGAACAAGAGGACTGATCTCTGGCTCCTCGCCCCTCGTTTCCAGGTGAGCCTTGTAGAAGTCCTTTAGGGTGACAGCCTGCGGGTAAAGGGGGAGGCAGAGCAAAGATCTTCCGATTAATACAGAGATCAAGATCAACTACATGATGGAAATGGAAGCTTGTGTATAATTTTTGGGGTAGCACAACTTGTCAAAACTGACAAGCCTCTAATGTTAAAGGGGCTGTAGCATGGGAGATACTGGTTGACGCCATCTACGTCCTCTTTTGGACAACTGCACGTAAACGAATGGACTTGATTAACTGGGTCAGCGCACTAGCGTTCGCGAAACAGACCGGAATTCTGCTCACGCTTCGGTTTCGCGTATGTTGCACACATGTGAACACGTAGGCCTACTGCGGTCGTGTTGTCCGTAGCCGTATTACAACCGATTTGCCCCAAGTCCGGCCATGGGAAAAACAGATACTGTAGACTCCTCATGCTACAGCCCCTTTAAAGACAGTGCAAAAGTGTGGCGGTAAACTGCTTCCAAACATCCACTGCAGCAAAACTAGATACTGGTAAGATGAGCTCAGTGGACTTCTCATTTCTGTACCTCAAATACAAAGATCTCTGCGTATGCTTACGCGCCATTGATGCACACAGGTAGCCTATGGTGTGTTCTTTTGCATTTAATAAAGTGCGTTCAATAAAATGCATCTCGGCAGTCTTGACATTCATTTCCTAATGGGTTTTGCAGCAGCTGAATTTCAAAGCAGTTTACCATGTCATGTCTTACCATATATGAGTCAAATTTAAACTCGGACCAAGGCGGTAAAGTAAGTGGGCAGATTTATACTAGCCATTCAATCTAGAAGAGGGCAAAGACAAAGGAACATACCTGTTGGTCCATCCACTGCTTGACCGGTCTGAGGGTAGCAATGTGATGCTTGATGTCCACATCGTTGATGAACTCTCCGAGCTCTGTATCGACGAGCAGCATCCTGCCTGGCTTGAGACGGCTCTTAGACTGTGTGTCCTCTGGAGCTACGTTCAACACCCCTACCTCGCTGGCCATGACCACGAAGCCCGACTTGGTGATGTAGTAGCGTGAAGGGCGGAGGCCGTTGCGGTCCAGGATAGCTCCGACATAACGGCCGTCAGCGAATGTGAACAGGGCTAGTGAGAAGGAATGAAATGAACGTACATGTAAATAACATCTGCTGAGTGCCAGAAGGACATTACACCTAACCCTTTGTTACATTTATGAGTTAACGCTCTTCTGACTCTGAGGAGTTGATCTTCTTTTATTGATTTTCTGTTCATGGTTACGTAGTTCTAAAATTGTAAGCCTTGTTCACTTCCATTGCATGATGAGCCTCATGACTGTTCAAATTTCGGCTACAGAAGCAAACTTGAATGAATCCTGTTAAACAACTTTGGCGGAACACTTACATTTTACATGCATTCTCATAACATGAATACAGTCAAATCTGTCTTAGTGGCCACCTCTCTATAAAGGCCACCTGTCTATAGACGCCATGCATTATGTCTCCCTCTAGAGAGAAATGTGTGTTAAATAACGTGACTAGAAATGCCACCTGTCTACAGAGGCCACTTTTTCTATGTCCCTGTTGTGGCCTCAATAGACAGATTTGACTGTATATGGTTCAGTTGGTTTTGAATTGAAATTAAAGGGCATAAAAATCTTCTTATTATACCTGGTCCGTCCCATGCTTCCATAGCAAACGAAGCCCAGCGGTAAAAGTTCCGTTTCTCCTCACTCATCATAGTGTCCTTATGCCAGGCCTCTGGGATCATAGTCATTACAGCCTGTAGGTCAGAGCAAGAAGGAGGTAAGTTAAAATGTAGGAAAAAATGACAAAGATGAGGATAATGTTGATGCCAGGTCTCTGATACCATTGTTATCATCGCCTGACATTGAGAGCAAGAGGGATGGATGCCAATCACAATTTAAAAATTGACGCTCCTGAAGGTGAGAAGGAGGTGATCCAATATTTCAGCCTGGCTTATTAAAATACTTCAGAAGCATAAAACTAAGGTCATGCACAGAATTTATGGTTCGGTTGTCAAGTCTAGGATCAACGGTAGGAACTTGAGAAACTTGAAAAAGTTCTTCAAAGATCTTTTTTGAATAAAGTACAGGTATTCAGTCGATGGGGGAAACAAAATCATGAAATATATTTGATTTGATTTGATTTTTGTTTATTTTTTCAGGCCAAATTGTGGAATTGTTCCTGTTGGGCAGTGATATTTCATTCTCTTTTTTTATCATTCCATAGTTGAGATATGAGATTCTATCACTCCAGCAAACAACTCTTCAGAAATTTCATCTCTCTACCAAGTAAATATCAAACGAGTATCACTTTCATTTGTTCTCTTGTTTATTTCTTTGACCGCAAATAAAATTTCAGACACTAGACATGTTGGGCTTACCTCTGGCAGGGATCGACCTCCGGCCATGATGAGGAACTCCAGGACATTATCCACCCGTCCAGAGTCTGGTAGCCCCTCCTCCACCACAGGATAGAGCTGTTTGAGCTCGTCACCGTACTTAGAGCTGCTCATGACGCCCTCTCTAGCCCTCATCAGGTTCTCATTGCCTCGGATGGTGTTGATCTCTCCATTGTGGGCGACGTATCTTTAGAGTCAATTATAAGGAAAAATCAAAATCGTTTATCATCATTTTTTTATTTTTTTAGCAGATGAAAAAAAAATATCTAAGAAAAAGTGCATCATACAATATATCTGCATAGTAGCAACTGATCAACAGTGTACTACTAAATGTATCATCAAAGTTCATGCCACACAGATGCAACAACCTAATATACAATATATGTGAAATACAAAATCATAAGAACATGTAGCATAATGCTAAGCAGGATTGGTCTGATTACGGTATTACTTGCCATGGAAATATACAATTAACAACTATATCATCCATACCCCCTTGTAAATTTAATGTTCTTGTTTCTTTTGTAACTCAAGAATGAAAGGTGGACTGGTCTAACTAGGGCCTATGTTGGGTACTTTCAGATGTTAGCTTTAATACGTCATATTCTGAAGAAACTTGGTAAGGGTATGAATAAATTGTTCACAAACATTAAAACTTGAAAACTTGTTAAGGGTGTGAATAATTTAGTTGTTTTAAACTGTACATGTATATACAATATCCATCAAAATGAATTATGTGATAGTAACGCAATAGTACACCTCAAGTGCACTACAAAAGTTAGTGCAATAGAGGTGCACTAGGTGCACTTTATCTCAGCCCATAAAGTGCACCTAGTGCACCTCTACTGCACTAACTTTTTTAGTGCACTCGTGGTGCACTATTGCGTTACTATTGTATAAAGGTAGTTTATTTTGATGGATATTGTACTTACAATTTACACCTTTGTTCTGATCAATAATCTATTACATAACTGTATTGATGTGAATAATGATGTTCATTTCATTTAACAAAGTTAAGAATACATGACAAGATTTATTAGTTTTGGCAATTTTTTTCCTTCTTCAATAATTATGGATGGATAACTTTATACCGAGCATATTGAAGAGTTGCTATTAAGCTACGCAGTTGTTTTGGTACGGCTTTGGTAAAAAGGATTCAAAACGAATCCCAATCTGTTTCCCTGTTCACTCTCTCTAGTTACACGATAGTGTGTTTGTATCTGAAGGAAGTGTTTGCACAGCTTTGATGCAAACGAGAATAGAAAGGGAACAGACAATTTACCAATGCATTAGTGTACGTCTTGCACTTTGGTCATTATAACAGCAAGATGAGTACATCATCATTCTTCCCAAATAAACTATGGGCTCGTTATTGGGAGATATAAACAGAAAGTGGGTATTTCAAACTTTAAAGATCAAAATCATTTTCACATTAAGAACATCAAAAAGTGTAGAATATTGCTGTCCATGAAATATTATTTAATGACCTGAAATCAGCTCTATGAGTGTGTGCGAGAGGATGTGGTTATTTTCCTCAGAAACAGAGAGCTGTGTGTATTGAAATAGCCCCTGTAGACCTAAAGGGTAGAGGACACTGTCTGTTTTTGTTTGTTTTATTTTTCTTCTCCCTTTTATTTCTTTGTCCTACTACTCCTTCAGAACAAGAATTTAACATACTTTAACATACTTTAACCCACTGGCTACTGGAACCTTGTCAGCCTAAGGAATTAAGATAATCCAGTTGCAATTTGGGTTAAAGACAATTTTATGTATATATGTTGGAAAAGGTATATACATGTACGGTATGCACAATGCTAAATAAATCTCCCTTTTCTTGATTTAAGAGCAAAAGGCCTAGTAACATTTTAAGAATGTTGACAGGAGCCTCTGGGCAAAGAATGTGCTCTACTATCCTCGGGCACTTGTCCATGAGATTTCTTTCTTCCTTTGTTTCTATACATTTAATTCTTTTACCTGGAAATTGGATTTTAAAAAATAAAATCAAAATCAAAAGCATGTGCGGTACTCTCACCTAGCATACCTGCCAACCTTTCACAGCAACATTTAGGAATACAGTCTATTTCATATACTTCACACACAGAATATTTCATAAAAAGAGAGGCATCTAGGGTTCAAAACAATAGCTTGACCCTATCTAAATAGGAACAACTCCTCCAAAAAGGAATCATTTGCAGCTACATTGTTTGCTATATAGAGGGCGCTATATAAATGGTGCAAGTATAAGTAGTGCTGTGGGGCTTTAATAGGAATGACATGTGTACCTGTGAGGGTGTGCTCTCTCCCAGCTGGGGAAGGTGTTGGTTGAGAACCTACTGTGGACCACTGCAAAGTGGGTCTCGTAGTCTGGGTCCGCAAAGTCTCCAAAGTACTTCCATAGTTGAAACGGTGTAAACAAACCCTAGATAGATACAAAGATGAGAAGACAAAGTGAAAAGCATGAAGATGGAGCAACGAACGGTATGAGGGATAATAAATACTAGAAACATACACAGAGATGAATTATGACAATGTTTCAGAATAGAGAGCACAGAAATAATGGCAGGCCTATATAGAGAGGCTTAACAGACCATCCAAAAAGACAAATTAAAAAAACCTCTAGGTTTTTCGTATTTGTCCAAAAACATTCAAAATATTAAGAATATTTCAAGAGTTCACATCTTATAATCTTACAATGACATTAAAAATGACATCAGAAATGACATAAAAATTGACATTAAAAATGTCAATAAAGATTATAAAAAGTAAGGAATCTTTCAGCCGATTTTGTTGTTGTTTTTGTTGAAAAAACATCCATGTACCCACATGTAAAATGGTGTATACAGGGTGTGTATATGGAGTATCTGGGGTACATGTCCCTTATAACAGGCACATCATTTGATATTCTGTGCACTGTCTCAGTAATCCAGTTATTGAACTTCAACTTCTATTTCCAGACAGTGATCAATAGAGTATTGACTGGGTCAAGGGCTATGGTCATTCTTCCTTAGTACTTTGTTCTGCTCTGGCAAAGAGGAATTATTAGGGGGATTATCAGTGGGATTATCAGTTGGATTATCAGTGGGATTATCAGTGGGATTATCAGTGGGATTATTTAAGGGATTATAAGAGGTGCTTTTGTTCAAAGCAATCCTTCTTTTGAATTGGGCTTAAGAACTTCAAACTTATACATTGTACATACAAAGGTTTACTGGAAAACACAGAATCTAAAGTCGAAAAAAGTGAGATTGCATGTACATGTACATTGTAAATGCATTAGATAGCATGTCATCTACATTAAATACACATTTATTTCATTACCGTATATAACACGTATACAATCTGTATGTATGTAGAACTAGGCCTATTAATAAAAGGCCTAGACAGGTACATTTTAGAATATCATTAAATATCATTATAGGGCAAAATGTGTGAAATGTGTTTAGCTGGAGCATCATTTGATATATAAGTTTTATTCATTTGAGATCAATGCAATATGAATTCCTTTTATGTGAGTTCCAACCACACAATTCTTCTGCCACCTGCTAAAAAAGGTCAAGCATTCTCATGCAGGACCATAATTGTGGAACTGTGAGCTCTAAATCAAAACATCCGTTTGGCCCACGCACTGCTCACGTCATCCAGCCATCGGCCCTCTAGACGACCTCCATCTAAATTTAGCATCTCGTTTGACTAGCATCCCTGCATTTTATTTACCCCCTTCTCTGTCTGTCTCTCTCTTCCTCTCTCTCTCTCTCATTCTTGATCTCGCTCCATCTCGCTCCATCTCTCTCTCATTCTTGATCTCGCTCCATCTCGCTCCATCTCTCTCTCATTCTTGATCTCGCTCCATCTCGCTCCATCTCGCTCCATCTCGCTCTCCCTTGATCGCACTCTCTCTCTCTCTCTCTCTCTCTCTATCTCATTCCCCCACGCACACATCAAATTGATGCCATCAATTATAGATTTCTGTCCCGCAATCCTCATTCTCTTCCGCAACTTGTATACCCCTCCCTCCCTCCCTCATCCCCCCCCCCCCCACACACACACACACATCAATTTGATGCCATCAATTATAGATTTCTGTCCCGCAATCCTCATTCTCTTCCACATCTTATTTACCCCTCTCTCTCTCTCCCCCATCCCACACAATTGCATACCGTCAAACACCAAATTAATGCCATCAACTGCATATTTGTGCATGTTTAGCCAGCCATTGCACTATAGCCTAAACCCCTAAAGGGCTTTCTTCATTGATAATCAAGTGGCGTTTGACGTCAAACAGTGCTTCATTCCAAGCAATCCTCATGATCCTCACTATTGTGCCCGTTTAATTAAGAGGGAAATTGCTTCACACATCGTTTGGATCTTATGTCTGCTGTAATCTCATTTCTTGGAAGTACATTGTACAATGAACATATTCTAAACACATCTTTCTGCATTCTTGAGATGTAAATAATAATTTTGTACACATATACTTTAATCACAGCACAATCGTATATGTATAACATCACAATCTTTTAAGTAACAAAATCCATGGCACATATTAAAGATACTACTTTACATGTATATTGAAATCTTGATATTTTAAGGACCATAAATAATAATGCAAAGGGTGTCCAGCAACTACCCTTGTGGTTTAAGTGTTGTATTTCATCTTGCTTGGTGTATACAGTATAGTCTACAGACTGATTTCTCCATGTACATGTAGCATTAAATTCAGAATGGGTTGTTTCACATCTACTGTAGATGATGGTGTACAATCCAAGTATCTTTTGTGAAAAATGGCTATAAAGACCATTAAAGAGATGAAAGGGTGTATTTACAAACACCTGTCAGGTGGTATAGGTTCCTTTGTACATGTTTCAATGAGAAATGATTTGATCGGAAACAAATAATGTTTATACACAGGTGGGCTTTCTGGTTTTTTAAAGCAGGTTTGACAATATCCTTGGTACACTTCTCAAAAAAGGTATGCTGAACACATTGAGAAGGATTGGATACTCAGCATTAGAGTGTGTGTGTGTGTATGGGAGTTTTACAGACGTGTATCAATCAGATATGAATATTTACGTCTGGGGACCGACCTTTAAACGTCACCATCCGAAAGACCCGAGTCAGTTTCAAAACTACGTTCTCGGCTGAATCAGTTTATAACTTCCATTGCTAGCTGGATTACAGGCGAACGCCCCAATGCCTAGATAGATATGAGTGATTGGTCTTTTATGAAATGCATGTCTAAGACCATGCGGGCAGGAAATTAACCCAGGTGTCCTTGAAAAGATATTCATGTGCAATGCATAAATAATGGCCCATGAAATGTTACGAGATAGCAGTGAGAATTGGATGAACTAGCATAATTTAGATGTACCTGACTGGGATGAATGGCAAATTCATTTTCTAGTTTGGATGAGGAGAGGGAGAGAATGCATGGAAGGAGAAGAGGAGAAGAGAAGAGGGAATAGGGGGTTGGGGTAGGGAAGAAGGAGAGGAGGGGGTAGAGGAGGATGGGGGTACTTAATGTAGGGAGTAGAGGAGCAGGAGAACACACACAGACAAAATAAAAGACCCCAATAAAGTCCCAGAAACCTAATTAGAGTTCAGTACTAGGGCAGAGAATGTGTAAATTATTGGACAAAAATGAACAAAAAAAATGAACTATTTGTCTTCTGTGACATTCAAATTGTTCTGTTGAATATTCCAAAGAGATACATTTCACTGGATAGTGTATACCAATAATGTGATTCTAATATCTGGACCAAGCCATCAAAATATTGTGACTTTTCTCAATTTTAATCATAATATAGAAAACTTTGGGTACATGTAGGAGGTACTTGGGATATGTGATTGGAAACAATAGAATATATTGGAGTAATTGACAGGAGCGCGTAGCATTACTCCACGAGGCCAGATGCAACCATGTACACAATTACACATGCACATTCAAGTACCTCTTACCACACTGCCCATGTGATCAAACACAGCTGAACAATTGCCTCATAAGAATATAGACACAATATACACAGGGCTTACTGGTACTTGAGAGCCAAAGGGCTACACATCACTGTACATGCAGCAGTAAGTCAATGCCCTTCTGTCTCTCCAAAGATGATATCTCTTGTTACATAATCCAATCTAATGGTATGCGATTAGGTTTCCTTCATCAGTCTCACTCAGAGCATGTGATCAACAATAAGATGGCTGTCCAATACTCCAATTACTTTCCTTGTATCTCCCGTGCATATCCCAGGTGATAGGTAATGCTATTCCATCACCAATTTACCCTAAGGGTACAATTTCATGTGTATGATACAACTGGGCCCCATTTCACAAAACTTGTCATCAGTGACAAATGACAATTTTTGTTATAAGCTAGTGAAATCCTTGCTTCTGATTGGTTATCACCAGATTTGTTTTTGTCATTGAACAAGGGCTTTGTGAAACGGTTCCCTGACCTTGTCATCTGTCAGCTGGTGTCTTCAGTTCATTTAGTTTGAGGGTTGGTTATTTAAGTGGAAAATGAAGATCAAATGAGTGGTAGCAGTGTAAAACAAAAAGTCAGCTGTTTTTAAAGATCTATGGTCTGTGTGGACCTAAAAGTGCACTGACTGTGTAAATGATCTGCTTTAAAGCTCTTCAGTCTAAAAACAGATTATATCATACCAGCATTAATCCACGAGGGAAAGGCTTGAATTCTTGAAAGTGGTTTTAATAGCTAACCTAAACCATATGGCCTAACCAACGATCTGGTACTGGCATTTCCTCTTCAATCCTAATATTTCATACTTGTTCTTCCCCTCCTCGTTTTCCCACATTCTCATTTGTTCATGTTTTTGCTCTTTTCCTTCTTTTAACATCCTCATCTTTCCTTCTTCTCATTCTTCATTCTCTCCTTCTTGTTCTTGTTCTTCCTCCTCCATCCATCTTCTTCTCCCTCTTTCTCCCCCCCCCCCCCTCCTCCTCCTCCTCCTCCTCCTTATTCTCTTCGTCCCTCTCCTACTCCTCCTTCCTTTTCTAGTCCTCCTCCTCCCATCCCACCTCCTCTTCTTACCCATACAATAATCCTAGGCAATGAATATGGGAGCAATCATTATGTAGTAATGAACCACCTTAAATATTCATAGACTTATGCGCTCAGACGGAACCTACAAATCCGGCTCTCTTGCAAACTCGTCCCTACCAGTTGACGTCATTACTTAGGGATGCATTACAGTCTCTAAGATTATTGATTGTTTTTTTATGTTGACACAGTGTGCATGCATCCGCATCCATCCGCCATTTCCACATCAGGGTTTTACCTAGGACAGAGTCTACAGTAGGTAACTTAAAGTAACCAATTTCTTACGGGAGATGCCCACTTTTTTGTTCATTTATTGATCTTCATCTTTTATGGCCTTTATGTGGAGACCAAATTTTTAAAATATTGGCATTTAAAAAAATGTTCCACATCCTTCTTCATCCTCTCCTCTTCTATCTGTCTTAAAGTTTGTTCGTCTTTCTCTATCTTCAGCATGTATGTACATGTATATGTAATTCCATTTTTCCTTTCTTCCTCCATATTTTCCTCTGACTTCTAAAGGAACATAAACACACACTAAATGGCATCTATAGTCTTTTTTTCCCTACATGACAGTGTGCCTTTTTTCTTTATAATTTCCTCATCAGAAAGATAATCTTGATCGAAAGATTCATCCTCTTGCAACTCGCTCATTGACGTCAACACATTTAGGGTTTAGGGATACTTTACACTCGCTTGAATATTGATTGCTCTTTTCAATGTTGACACAGTGTGCATGCATGCATCTTAAAGGTATCTCCTCATCCGACCTACATGGAGTTCAAACTGGATGGAAATATATGCAATCTTCTAATGGCATGCATAGTGGCGTAGCTACTGGTGCTCAGTCTGGGTGTAAGGGGGAAGGGCGGGGGGTATATGCCCCAAATCAAGTGGTGGAAAAATCAAAAGAAAAAAAAGAAATAAAGAGACAGAGACAGAGAGGGGAAGAGAGAAAGGGAAAGAGAGAAAGGGAATGTGGGAAAGAGAGAAAGGGAATCGGAGAAGGGAGAGAAAAAAAGAGGTCTGGCCCACTTCTTTCACTCTTCCCTTAATCAATAGCCTTGTAACTTTGCATTTTATTTTCAGAGTAAACCTGGTGCCCCTTCCCCAATAATTCCACTGACCCTTCTATTAGCGGTCTTGTACGCCCCCACGCCACCAGCATGCATGACACAACAGCTTTATTTAGTGCTTGAGAGTAAAGGTGGAGATTTTCTCTGAATACTAAATGCAATTATGCATACAATGTCAACATAGAATCTTGTTTGACTGTGTGATAAGAAGTTGCAAAGTGGGTACACAAGCAGAATAAAGTATACCGTAATTAACGGGGTTTTTTTTTTTTTTTTGGGGGGGGGGTTTGCCGACTTAAAAAACAGTAGAGGACCTAGGATAGAACCTTGTGGTACGCCGTGTAATAGAAGAAAAATTGGAGGAATTATTATTATAAACTACATATTGAAATCTATCAGAAAGATTACTTTCAAACCAAGATGACAGACAAATTTGAGTGTTGTTCTAGTTTCGGAGTGGTGAGTCAACACACCGATTACTGAGCTGGGAGACATTGCCAGGCATAGCGCCAGGTTGAGGGGCATAAATCGAAACTTTAAAAAACAATTTTGTTTTTGTTTTTGGGGTGTACCGTGTTTAAACCGCACCCCCCCCCCCCCCCCCCCCCCCGACTTTGAATTTTTTTCGGCGGCAAAAAGGTGCAGTTAATACACCGTTAATTACGGTAGCCACAAACATTCAGATTTCTATCTGAGATAGAAAATATATTTTCATCCGATGCTCATCTTTCTCTCAATATCCCATCTTTCTCTCCTCACTTTTCTTAATCAAGGACAAACTCTCACCATTTTCTCTCCGACTAATTTCCTCATTTGACCAAGATATTTTATAAATTGGGATGAATAGAAAAAAAATTTGAGAGTAAGACACTATTGTTATGTAAACACTTTTCCAATTTGTATTCCTATTCACCCCAACTGCTCATATTTACTCTGTTGTGAAGCACAGGTTATTTTATTTTCTCCATGTACTCAATCCTCATTCTTAAGAATCTTAAACATTCAAATTACCAATCATGCTGTCAACATTCTCAAAAGTACATGGACAGGTATCATAATTCGAAAGAAAGCATATTTGTCACAAAATATTTGTTACAAAAAATCCTTTAGCAAATACAACATTTATATTCTGAATATGTCAATATTACGTACCTTATACACAATGGACTTTGAAGACAATGTACAGATGTAGAAACGCAGGTCTTTCTTTGGAATGGTATGGGTAGCCCTTTTCCTCAATGCAAACACCTGTAAGAGAAAAAGGTAAGAACGATGCTCTCTGTTTGAATAATTATGATGGTAATACAGTATCTTGTATTCATCGAGCACAAAAGAAAAAATATCAAAATATCTGTACTTGTATTACGGCCCATTATCTACACAGTAAGCATTTGAAGCATTTTACCTCCTTAAGCGAAATTAATGACCTTAAAAGGGAGGTGTCATGGTATGTTACCAGACTGTGGATAACATAGTCTAAAGTCATGTTAAACAAAAGGAAAACTTGGACCTCGGTCTAACTCCCTTTGTTGAAATGAGCTAGACTTTAGAAATGTGACTTAAGAAAACAGATGTTTACTATTGAGAAGAAGAAAATTATCTAAGAATTAGAGCACCGATAATAAGAAATGTATTTACATTAATAATTAATAATAATGATATTAAAGATGTACATGTAATGGTTTACTATTTTTCCAGAATTATTTGTTTGCACCTGTGTCCTCTCAATTAAATTGCCTGTTTATCCTCTTTTCTATTTTCTTAATCTGATTCCCGGAGAATGGGGGGGGGGGGGGGGGGGGGGGGGGGGGGGTCAAATATATAGCTGCACACAAGCCTGAACAAAGAACGCAGAAAGGGTATCTTTTTTCTGCTCAAGGTGAGTGACACATTCAGGGTGTTATGTAAGTTGTTTTTTAAATCAGAAAAGAGGGCACCGTTTGTTGAGTACCCTTTTTAGACTTGATGATGTTCGATAGAGGTTGACCTTGTTAAGAGAATAGTTTCAAGGGGGTTGATAACTTGTTAAGGTTATATATTTTTAGAGTAAAGGCACGCCCCCCCCCCCCTATGGTCATGTATTCATGTGTACAGTAATATATACTGCCCCCCCCCCCCCCCATCTGATTGAAACGCTGCATTTTCTCAAACTGCTTACATCCTGCTGGATTCTATCTGCCTTTCTTTTCTGTCTATTCAAAAGAGTGCAAATAAATATGTCACAATCATTAAATATTGTTTTATCATGACTGTTTACAACAAAGATCTCTATTTTATTATGCCCCTAGACCTTGGACTTTGTCTTTGTCCTTACCATTTTTATCTTTTGTAATTTGACCTTATTTGAAGTCCTCTAGATGATTCACGGAACAAAGAATTCTAGCACGTGCTACGATCGTGATATCTTTGCCTATCAGTCAATGGCATAGTTATAAATGAACAGGAAAAAGAAATAGATTAGCGTCATTAAGCCCACCTCACTGTTTACACCTCTGCATCAATTTGGGGGAAATGATTAGACCCAAGGATTAGAGCTAACATTAAACAGGAAACATCTTAAAGATGGGGCAAAGTCATACAGAAGGAAATAAAAATCTCAGGGATCGATTGCATGCTTACAATTAACGGGAGACAAATTTTAAAAGGTTAAAAATCATGTGACGTCAGACCGGATGTTTTGATCGTCTCCTATATGAAGCTGATTTGGCAATTAAGTTTAGAGCCTTGCAAAATATTTCATTGTTATCTATATTATTCAGAAATGTAACTGAAATTTCAGTTGGATCATTCAGATACATGTATATGATGACACAGCCAAACCGCAATGGTATTTTTTCATAAAGATGTATATTGTATTACACTGTAAGTGTAAATACACTCCATATTTCTGTATCTAGTAACACAGAGCCCAATAAATTGCTCAGGACCTTTGTTCTGCACAAGTTGCCATTCATATACAACATAGTAAACAAAATGCTGCAGTTTATCATTTCATGTATTTGAATGAGCCTATTTACATGAATACTAGCTATACAGCAAGCATTTTTTGTTCTACTTGTATATATGTACAGTGTATATCTATCAAATTCCTTGAAAGAATGGTAAACACATCCCTCAATTAAAGCGCTTCCCGAAATATAATGTGCAAGCACATTTCATTGTGGAATTTTCGACTTGTGCGTTAAAAAGGGAATAAAATACATTGAAACTTAAAACCCTACCATACATTTCAGCCCACCCCTATATCTAACTTTTATGTGTACAGCGCAAACATCTTTAGATTATAAATGTTGAACAAGCCACTAATCATGACGATTGTCAAATATTTGATCAACCTGACACATGGATTAACCCTGTTTGATATGTCTGCTCTACTTTGGAAAAATAAGCCAGCTGTAATCTGATTTTGTTGTTAAATGTAATCTATGGGAAAACATTTAAAAAGCTGCAATGTTATGACATATACAGTATAGTGTAATTCTGTTTAGACAATAGAAATATGTGGAAATCAATTCAAATTGAATTTACTTTTCAAGGTCTTAAAGCCCCACTGCACACTATATAGCTACTTGCGCTCTCTATATAGCAAACAATTCGTAATCAGTGCCTGTTGGATCCCCATGATCCCCTTTTTCTTGTGTTACAAGTATTTGAGCACCAGCCAGTGACCTTGCAGGGAGGTCTGCACCCCCCCCCCCCTGGCCAAACTGTTGCAGACTGGCTTTAAAATGTTTTTAAAAATACCTATAAGGTGTTTGGAAAAGATTTTGTATAATTTGAACATGTATTTCATTTTTTCATTATCAAATTAGGGCTCCATACTATTTTGTTGTGAGGAGACCCCAGATGGAACCATTAACAGTATGTATGCACATGAGCTCTATGTACAAAATGGAACATTTGGGGGGGGGGGTGGGAGGGGGGTGGGGTGCTGCTGTGTGAACAGACCTACCTGGTCTAGAGAGAGGACGTTGCTCTGATCACATTACATATGGGTCAACTTCAATGTCAGTACGAGGTGTCATGTTTATCATGTAACGTATCATGTGTAGTGTACTCATGTCCATACCAATGTTGTGACTTAACTTCTACTTGAGCTACATGTAGGAAGGGCATACATCTTCAGAACTCAGAAGAAGATGAATGTTTATTTTGCCCTGTACATTGATGTACATGTACAAGGAGAGATCTATCTCTACATAGTTCTCGCCAATCAACATGTCCACCCTTGGTCAGTATGGAGGACTTTACATGTAGATTAAGAACATTTTCCCTTTCAAGAAATACTGAAAAGGGTGTACCAATACATCTAAATATCAATGCAACAATACATACTTTTATCCTGCAAAGTTGCTTCAAAGGTCTTCACTTAAGATGTTGCAAGACCACATTTCACTCAATTTAAAGCAAGGGTAAACAAAGTTCTGCAGAGAAGCTTGGATCTCTGCAGATACCATTTCAAGAAAGGTTTCAACCTATCATATATCTTGATTCTTTTCCACACACAATATGCAAGTAAATTGGAGGAAACAACATTGTAGAAAAACAAAATCTAACACATTGACAGCAATGTGGTATCGTCATCATTCCCTGCTTGTATGTATTGACCTAAATAATGTTGGGTGTCAATGGCTTCCACTTCAACATAAAAACCTTGAGACTTTTCTGTGACCCTTGTAAAGTAGGCACAATTACTTCCTGTAAGTCAAATTACAAGGACCATCAACATACTGTACATGTATTTCCCATCAAGGGTTAGTTTGTTGTTTGTTTTTACAATTTATTTTTCTCAAAGGTTTCCTTTCACTCACGTGATGAGCAATGGCTCTGCGGTAGAGCAGAGGTCTCGTAAAATGGAAGTCCTTGGTTCCTCGGATAGGACTTACATTACAATCTCGAGTTGCTTTTTAAGAAACGTACATTTGTTTTCTTAGCAATCAGGTAAAATAAACCATCAAACCATCTCTAGTTTTACTGTGCTTGTGGTTCTCTTTTATAAACATGTCAGCTTGTTTCTGAACATTTTACTTTACTTGAACTTGATAGCAACCTAAAACACATAGAAATTGCAAGAATCTGAAAATCAGTTTCATTCTACTATCACATTAAGATTGAACCCACAGCGTCCCACGCTAAACATAAGCATTCTATATTTTTGTACTTTCAATATTTTCACAATTTTGCACATGGATTTATTGATGGAAAGATTCTGCAAACTCAGCAGCCCTTTGAAGATGAGGTAATCTTTTTGAAAAGTTGTTATAAAATAGTCAATATCTTTTTTTTTTAATTTTGCATATTAACTGGCCCTTATTCAGTGCCAGATCATAGTAGAAGGAGGAGGGAAGATTGAATCCAATGCCAATCGAGTCACCTGCACCCCCCCCCCCTGCAAAAAAAGGCATTCTGCCACACTTGTAAACCTTCTTTGCAGAGTCCCCTGGATCTATTAATGTAGAAATATGTAGTTGAAAAAAATGTATGTATTTCTACTCTTATGATATCTGGCTAAGATTTTGTTTTAAATACAATTTCTGCAAACTTTCTCTCTGTCATATGAAATCGAAACTTAAGACTGCATTTGAACATCAAACGAATCAAGGACATGACCACACTCAGACTTACGCGTTGCTCAAAGAGTTCCTTCTCCTGTTCGCCCGTCACAAAGACCTGCCGCAATAGGGGTTCCCTTGCTCTGCCAGTATGGCCTAGAACGCTTGTATCGTGTGGTACGTTATGCCAGGCTAGTACCTAAAAAAAAAAAATCAAAGAGAAAAAAGGAAATTTAGGTTACAATGCAAACATGGAGATAATACCACACAAAATTCCTTCATAAAGCTTTGAAAGTGATTTTATTTTATTTTATTTTTAAAATTGTATTCATGATGCCAATTCAAGGTTGAAAAACTGGTCAAATTCAACCTATCAAAAAAAAACCTATTCTGCCTCAGATTAAAAAAGCTCTCTTAAATTTACTGTTTCAGTTCTATATTTATATATACAGTGCAGGTCTATTTCAATAAATATGAATCTTATGAACCTATATACAAGGCCCTAAAAGACATCAAACAAGTAAGGCTGCAATTTCCAGTCTCTTATGTATAAATTTGTACCTATAGGCAAGACTAAAATATTTAAATTATTTACCAAACACATCACATATTTTAGTATATATCTGAATCATCTAACCACATTTTATCAAGTTAAAAGCCCTCAAAGAGTTTGGATCAGAACTAATGCATAGTATAATGACACATTTGATGTCCATGTATTTATATTGACAAGTTTCCCAATAAATATTTGGTATTAAACATACAAGAATTGAACATCAAATAACCAAATACATTGGATGAACCCACCACTTTCCTCACCTTTAATTTACACTCAATGGCAAGTTCTTCAAACTTTTGCTCACACTGGTTGGCTGTTAGGGGGTCTAGGAAGAAGATACCAGTGGCATAGTGTCCAGGCTCTGGCAGCTCTATCTGCTGCTCCTCTCTGTATAGGGTAGAAGTGATCATGCAATGTATATATATCTGTTCAGTTTACAGTACTTGACAAACACTGTCATGGTACTAGTGCATTGCGAGTTATGCATCTTGACATAAAGAGCACATGTACGTCGTTGAGAATAAATTTTAGGGACCGGGGTATCCTTTCAATTTTACTATAGACTGTGTATCTCTCAAAACTCTAAACTTTCTTATGAATCTGAATTAAATTACAAGTAGGCCTATGTATGATTGAAGAAAAGAAGAAAAAAAATTGTATAAACTCTAAAATGAGATGAAAGAAAATAATCATACCAGTACTTGTCATAGATCAGGGTTTAATAATACATGTACATGAGTCTGGTAAATGTAAATGTACATATGGGCTTAAATTTCTGCACTAATCTTCCAAGCTAAAACTAAAATCAGGGCCACGCAAAGTGCAAACAGACAAACATATTACATTAATCTGTATGACCCTATGAAAAGATTAGCGTGGAGACCTGCAATATGTTCCATTTTACATTACAGTATGTTCCAGCTCTGAGCAGGATCATCTTAGTTTGAACTTGTTTGAACCTGACCTCCATGGAAGCTACATGTACACAATGCTTGAGTGGAATTTTATTTGCATGTGACCTTCAAGTATCATTCAGGATCTACATGTAGTACATGTACAAGGAGAGATAGAGAGAGAGGGGGAGAGAGAAAGAGGGGGAGAGACAGACAGACAGAGAGGAGAGTCGAGAGAGACAGAGAGAGAGAAAGAGAGAGAGAGGGGGGCGAGGGGGTAAGGAAACAGGAGGTGAGAAAATAGAGGAAGTGAGAGAGAGGGGAAGGGGAGGTGGTAGAAATTAAAGAGGGAAGGGAAGAAACAGAAGAGAGAGTGGGTGATAATTGGGGAGAGGAGAAAGTATAGTAGGAGAACAGAACGTAGAATTCACAAGTAAGTGAGTTGTGAAAAGGGCGATACATGAACAAAAGGTACAAGAGGAGATTCATTAGGGAGTGAGCGAGAGAGCAAACAAGCTATGCGGTGAAGAGACAATTGAGGGAAATGTACAGAGATTTAGGTAAGCTAAAGAAAGAAATAAAGATAAGATAAGATCACAAAAATAATTGGGAAGAAAAAAAAGTGACAGATATAGGGCTTGAGACAATGGAAGCAGAGGGAGAAGAGGGGAGGTAAAAGGGAAAGCGAGAGATAGATCAAGAGAAAGTAGGGTATATGGTTTGAGATCGGTGTCATTGACAGTCAACAGGATGCATGATAGGAGTGCATGAGTCCCTAGGAGACGGACTATGGAAAGATTCCTTCCCTCTCGGGAGATAAACTGCATCCAGTAACCATATACATGTATACTGTCTAGCATAAGGGGAGGGATATATCAGTTACAGGTAGGGAAAAACAGCACTTACAAATATATAGCATATAATTATATAGCAATTTGTTTCGAGAAGAAAGTGTTAGCCTGTGCATACTTTACAGTGTACAGAAGTATGTTCAAGGGCTTAGTTGCCTCATGGATTTTGTTGCCTTTACCTTATTTTTCCAATAAAAAATACATGTAACGGTATGTACATGTAATTGTATGAAACAAAATTACAAGATAAAATTTCTACGCACTTCAATATATACTGAATATAGTAGATATGTATGTCTTCTCCCCACCCCCCCCCCCCCTCCTCTCTTCTCTTCTCTTCTCTTCTCTTCTCTTCTCTTCTCTTCTCTTCTCTTCTCTTCTCTCTTCTCTTTTCTTTTCTTTTTCTTCTTTTCTCTCTCTTTCTCTTACTCTTATCTCACTTTCTCACAAACAATTAAAATTCCTGAAAACAAAACAGAGGTCCACATTTATCGCCCAATTTTAAATTCAATAACTAAATGTAACCTTATCTCCCACTCTATACTCTTATGCTCCATTTACTCTTTGACCTACCTGAGTCTACGTGCGTAGAGTTTGTGAGGTATGCCTGTCATAACACCAGCACCATCTCCAGTGTCATTATCCCCTCCCGTAGCCCCTCGATGCTTCATGCGACACAGGATGGTCTGGGCATCCTTTATAATCTACAATACGATAAGGAAAACAACAACCATACATTACAGAATATCAGGTTCATGTACAGTACATATACATGTAAAACTAATTGTGTGCTGAGAAGAGTTATAATTTTTAGAGCTAATATCTTGAGAGTTTTGGTCATAGAATTCCATTTTATGTGAAACTGGGTCTTTTAAATTTGAGTTTTTTGTAGTAAGGTACATTAAACTGAAACACATTCCTTGAAAAACTTCAGGATTTCATCACATTGTAGGATGAATGGATCTAAATATGTTGGCACTAATGTCCTTTTTTAGTACGTTTTCCTAATTATTCACCAATTTCTTATTTCAATTATGTTTACGTTTTATTTTCATGGGTTTTTGTTTTTATTTATTTTTTATGTTAGTTCTCTAAAAATACAATGTACACACACACAAAAAGAGTTCATTATTATATTCAAGTAACTTATTCAACATAATTTGACAATGCTGTCAATACTCGATAGCATGTGAAACTGGAGTCTGCGTGTCTGTTGATCTTTCAATTTGCCTGTCTGTCTTTCTCTCTCTCTTATCAGTCCCAAATATTATTCCCCTTATTATTTTCTTTTACTCAGGCTTGAACAAAATTGAGAAAATAAAGATGTACCTCTCTGATCTGACCTGTGACCTGATTCATAGGGTAACAGACCGTTTAAGCAATAACAACAACAATAACTTGACAATGTGCATAAAAGCACAATGGATTTGCACAATGGACTTGGCAACTGTAAGGCCATGTAAAATTGATTTCATGTTGATCGTCCCCGCCCGCTTCCTTTTTGGGGGCCGCCTCCTATTTTTTGTTATTTGTTATTTTTTTTATTTTTTTTTTTGATTTTTTTTTTTGATTTTTTTTTTTTTTTGAAAGAAAAAAAACATGAAAAACACTGCTAAAATGGCTCCATTTCTGATTTAAAAAAAAAAAAAATTGTCGGCGGCCATCTTGAAAAAAAATAGCCTCGACTGTCGGGGAAAATGTACCGAGCGGCCATTTTGAGCGGCCATTTTGAAATATCAAATATCAAATAACATGGTACACCCTCCTCCTCTTTTTCAAAAATCCGGACGATCAACATGTAATCAATTTTACATGGCCTAAACTGCCATTAATATATTTATTAATAAACAATAACCACCTTAAATTACTCTGACAATGGATTGACTGAGGCATTAACCTCAGAATGCAAACATGTATACTTGACCTCTCAAACCACTGCCTAGCTGGTCATGCATTGCATACATGCACGTAGGCCTACATTCAAAGTCCTGAACATGTCAGTCTATGACTGCCAAACTCGCACACAAACCATCCAAATGTCATTTTAATCAGCTAACAACGCAAACATGTACACTGTACAAGTAGATTCATTCTCTTCTCATAATATTATCATCTAAACAAACTCTAAAACAAATATTTAAATTAATTCAGGTGTATTTGATACCACGCATCTGGAGTTATACAAATCTTGTCTTCTAAGATTTTATCATTTTGAGTCCAATCACAACTATAAGAATTTAAAATGTTATTCAGTTTTTTGTGGTATCCTACAACAAAACTATTACATGAAAAGTATAGGTAAAATACTCTCTTTTCAAGGATATATAATATACATGAAAGGGATTTTTATGCAAAATATGTACATGTACATGTGCGGAAGTGTAAAAGTTAAATTTTCCCCGAATGTAAAATACAATGAAAAGGTCCTATTGTGGAAAACATAAATTTACCAAAAATAAATGTTTGAATAGAGCCCAAGTCTACACCCAGTCTCTATTCAACTTGTATTGTTCTTCTTTTACATTGACAATGGACCCGCCACACAGGCAACTTTTTCATACTCTGGGTTATACAGGCTCAGAGCTGGGGGGTACATGTAGCCCAGTCATGCTCCTCACCCCCCCCCCCCCCCCCCCCACCCACACACACACACCCCTCACACCTCATCCCCCTCCCCCCACACACACACAATGCCCTTGATAATGACTTTCTCTCTTACCTTATTGGATTGTTCTCCTTTGATGTTGACAATGAACCCCACCCCACAGGCATCTTTCTCATTCTCTGGGTTATACAGTCCCTGGGCTGGGGGCAGACCAGTATTGATGTCCAGCTTGGGCAGTGCCATGGTCAATCAAAGACTGGCCTCTGAAAGACAAGAAAGAAAATATTGAATAGATAAAACCTTCATTTTCAAAGATTAAACCACCCCCCAAAAAACTGTCCATTTTACCAGACATTATTATCAGCAAAGGAGATTTGATGGGCATATTCTACGTAAATAATGTGCCCAGCTGATGCTGTAAAAGTAGTCAAATTGAACCCCCAATCAACAACAATATGGTCATTTCGGTCAAACTCAAAATTGGCCTACCTGTATTGATTCTTGAAATACACATGTGCACACCTATACATGTAATTTGTATTCTCATAAATGACATTATATGGCACTTGTAAGAGGGACACCATGATAGATGCCATAAGTATGTCAATTATCAAAGTCCATTTATGTGTTAGATTCTCAAATATATTTTGAGGGCCTTAACTTCTATATAACCAAGCTCTTGAACCTGGCAGGCTGATGGTCATCTTCAGAACAATATATTTGAGGTCACCAAATGTAATCTGTACATGGTAAAACGATCAAGATAGTCTATGGGAATAGTCTGCAAGAACAGACTCTATTTCGACACTTTAGTAAAATAAATTCTTGAGTGGAGATTAATCCAGCTTCCATTTGTGGCAAACCTGGTAATTCTTCTACTGGTTGCCAAACAAATGAACAACAAAAGCAACAATTACAAACAAGCAACAACAACAATGGTTAAGTACTGCTAGTCTGTTGACGCATGCTATTTGATGCCAAGCCTACATGTACATGTTGTTATCTCGGGTTGTGTCAAATGATATGGGGTGTAGTCTACAGTAGTCTCAAAGTCTAGACCCTACTACAGTAGTTACACCAGCCAAGGGTTTGTTTCTGCAAACGAGGCTGTGGCAGCAAGTTACATGTAGTCTACAGCTGGAATAGTACTTCAGATCCTTTGTTATGATTGTGACTGGCAAGAGTTTGAGTAAACTGAGAATGGAAGTGGAACATCAAGGGCTGGGTTCAGATTTCGTTCATCAACCATGTCACGTTCTGATCACATGATCAAATTAATGGGGAGTAAAATAACAAAGTGTCAACATCATAAAACAACCCCCATGCCATGCCCTTGCTTTTCACTAAATGCTAAAAGTAAACATGTTTTCTTTCTGTACTGCATGTGACATCAAATACACTGAGGAGTTAGTGGGGAGAGGGAGGGAGGGGGTCAACTTTTAGGGAAAAAGAGAATGCACATGGGTGATATCACTTAATTTATTTTAAAATCATCCTAATATATAACAAAGTCAGTAAAAATCGCTCGTGCACATATCAAACAATTCACAGTGCTTGCATACAAGCAATGCACATTTCCATCATTTGTCCCTTGCCACATATCAAAGCCCCACAGCTAGGTACAAAGTGTCAATCAAGAAATTCCTGCATGCTTAGCTTGCATCATGCCTGGTTTGCTTGATTAATTATGTTTTGAAACTGTTTATAATTTATTCCAGCTATAGAGTCTACTAAGTACTAGCTAGCTATGTTCTAAGACTTCTATAGCATGTCATTCTAACTAGATCTACATGTAAGTATGCACTAATCAATCATGACCACTATGAGAGACACCACACCACAATATCCTTGTTACTTTAGTTGCTGAAAAGGCTTGACGAGTAACAGCATAGACATAGACCAGACTACGTCTAAGTCTTGTGTATAAAACATCAATAATATAATAACCTTGATAGTAATGATGACAACAACAATAATGAAAACAACAGCAACAACAACATCAACAACAATAGTAAAATGTAATAATAAATTGGGTACAATAATTAATTCAGCAGATATATGTCATGAGCTTCTAAAAATAAAAGATGACACCCCCCACACACACACACACACATAGGCCTACTCAGAGTCAAGAGTAATTGTATAGTCTAGTCTATACTAGATTCATTAGATCTAGATCTATAATTAATCGTGCATTCTCATTTTGATCTAAATCTAAATCTAAAACGCCTCTAGTCTATATAGATGACAGAGTAGACCTATGTAGTATGTGATAATTTACAGCTACGAAAAATTTGGCTGACCTGACAACTTTCATGAAGGGCAGTCTGATCGCAGATGCGGCACGGCAGATGTCGTCTTAAACCAGCAGCTTTTGACTCGAGTCGATACAGCTCGCGAACTTGATGCAAAACACTCCGCAGATGGTCGTCAAAGAAGTTCCTTTCCCCGATATACGACTCTTTGTGAAGAAATTCTTACACACTTGCCAGAGCAAAAATATGTAAATTGGACGATTCGCAAAAGTATTTTCTCTCAAAGTCTTCAAAGAAGATAAAACACAGCTTGCTTAGAAGACTTCATTGGCTTGGTCTCGCGTTAGTTCAACACACGCGCACCCATTATGTAGACTGTACCTATACGTAATTTTATGCACCGGATAACTCTGTGTACAATGTGGATACACCACGTGCAAAGATCAGACGGGCCTAGTCTACTATCGAAACAACCTTGCGGTGTTTTGCACAGGTTTCAATGAGACATTTCTTTATTCGTGTGATTATTAGTCCAGAGATATCCTGATTAGTCTCACAATTATTTTATTCCACTTTCATATAGATTAAAAAAGGGGATTTTAAATTACCTTTAATTTATTTCGACGGAGATGCGTGGCAACAATAAAAATGCATAAATCTAGAGTCATTTGGGTTATTTTGTTATCTCTCTCTCTCTCTTTCTCTCTCTCTCTCTGTCTCTATTTAATTTGTGAGTAGATGACATTTGATAATTTACCCATTTTCATAGTTCCTGATATCATTTATCATCATACGAGTACATTCAGATTATCAAAAGGAACCATTCGTTCCGCGTTTTATGGAAACCGCTTTCTTGTTTATTATTCAAGTTTACCTTGCATAACGACTAGAAACGTGGGAATTAAATGAATCAAAACATTGGAGTTCATTCAAAGATCCACAATCACGCGGTCACGCGATGTTCAGCTCAGTCAACCAATCAACGTCGAATATTATAATTGTGTTTCCTTATTTGGAGAAAATACTTCCATATGGAGCGCTTAACTGTTCTATCCTAGCCAATCAAAGACTATAATTGTCCAGACTCTTTCGAAAGAGCGTGCTGTCCGCGCCGCTAGACGCACGTGTAAAACGGCAAGGTCGTACACATAAACATGCAGCAGATTTTCCATTTCATGAGCCAGCGACGTGAGAAGTTTGCTAACCTTCATTTGTGTTTTGTTTTGATGAGTTACGTTTTCTTTCGTCTGCTTTGTTTACATATGGATATGGTGAAATACAAATTCGCGACCCTAAACAAAATAATATTAGGCCTATAAAACGTGGAGGGGATTGAGAAGGAATCTGTTATGCACCCAATATGCCTGAAACGCGATATGAAATAAATTGTAAAAATATTTCCAATGTTGCTGTGCACGTACAATCAGTCGTATTTTACCATGCATTCGATGAATGTTCCTTTTTTGTGAAATCATCATTCAAGATTGGATGGAAAAGATATACGATTGACGATTGAAAGATCTTTGAATGATGATAGAGATGTGATTTTGTGGATATACAATTAATTGTAACATTATACGTTTCAAGGCACAGATTTAGATATACATACACGTATATAATTGTATATGTATTATTTTTTTTGTAATAGGCATGTATAATGGAGAATAATTATATTTATTATATGTTTGACTTTGAATTTGATTGTTTTCTTCTTCTATTTTGTTTTATTGCTGGTTAGCCCCCCCCCCCCCCCCCCCCTCCCCTCCTCGCCCGCTTGTTTTCTAATGGATTTTAATTGCAACATGAATGGGAGAATGTAATTATTTATGAACCGAAGCATAGATCTACCGGGAGATCTACTTCCATTATTTTCAAACACATGCATGCAATACAAGTTTCATCCAATTTGCAATATCTAGCGAGTCTGAACTACAAGACTCATCGATCGCTCTAATATGAAGCCAGTCGAGCGTTCGTTTATCAATAATAACAACACTAGTCTAGTCTATTTATTCAAACACTTTTCTTGAAAACTTTACTTGTAATTTTGTAAAGTAGAAATACGTATTAGAAAAATAATTTCTATATTTCCATACCTGTAGAAAAGATAATTATTTTTTGTTTTGATGTAGGTAGAAACGGATTAGTTGTCAGGTTTTTCATTCAGTAACCAGAAACGGAAATTTTTTAAAGTACCGAGTATATGACTAAGCCTAAGTAAACATTTCCACGTGCAATTTTTACTACGGTTAGCGGATTTGTGAAGGTGACTTTGTATTTCACGCTGCACGGATGCAGCATCTTTACCATGCACGAGCTCTAGCGGCGGGAATCTCCTCGAGCCTCGATCCGGCGCGCGCGGCCGACTCTCTCGACTCTCTCTTGATCTCGGCTCCAGCTGCCGCGCGCCCCGCGCTTATCAGTTGTGAATTCTAGCCCTAATACCGTAAGACGCCTGTACATTGTGTCTGCATTTTTCAATCTAGCTTGTTTTCAATTCAAATTCGGTTTGAAAACTTTGTGTTTCTGCATGATGGCAAATTCTACCATGTTCGAAACTTGTCCAATCGACATTCATCATCAAACTACCGATAGCGAGATTCTGGAAGAATTACCATCGCTCTTCAACACGCCGGGCGTGGAATTTGAGAGTTTTTCCGGCTTCAGTGTTGCTCGAAATATCAACCAAAATTTGGACTCGTTCGACACTAGATTCTCTCGCCTTTCTCCTTCAAAGCCTAACTCGGGGACATCTTACCCATCAGCATCTAGATGTTTGTGGAGAAAATATGGAGTTGAAACCCATGATGACCAAGTAGGGGGAGGAGAAAAACTAGGACCTCACGAGATGGCCGTTTATGGTAAGCGGAGTAAAATATTATCAGATCATGAGTTGGCCTGTGGCAGCGTGCAGGAAGCCGGTCGGTCAAGCTCCTTGGCCTTTGGTCAGTGCAGTGACTACCGATCACTCTGTCGCCATCCACAATGCGGTGATCATGAAACTAAAGAAGAAGGAGGAGGAGCTAAATTAATAAATTGCCTTCACTTCATCGTTATTCACTCGATCATCAAGTGATGTGGGCTAATATTTGAGGACGGGCCTCTCTCATTCCTTTCGTTTCATTCCATTTCTTTTTATGTAACAAACTAGATTCTAGGCCTAGAGTAGGCCTAACTCCGGGAAGCTCCAACACCGGCGCCGCCTGTGTTGGAGCTTCCCGGAGTTAGAGTAGGCCTAGACCTGGAGTCTACTACTAGATTTCTAGGTCTAGATCTAGATCTAAAAGTAGATCTACAAGGCATAGAATATTTTCTGTTATTAATATTAGATCTAGTTATTACTTTTTATCCTATGTTTACTGTCATTCTTTTTTTTAACAAATTCGAAAAAATTGAATATTTGAATTGTGGGAATAGGGTCGAATCCTTTGTAAATCAAAATGTACAATTCTTTTTTAAACTTTCCACAGGAACGAATGTAGATGAAAGAATACTTCCAGGATTTGAATACCACGTGCGCATCCCAACCAGGAATAGGAAAGACCGTTTCCAGTTTGGTGGCCGAGCACTGCACCTCCTTCGTATTGGACAGGGTTATGGGAAACGCCTCACTTTCGAAGACAAGCACGCCAACATCAACACAAACTTCTTCTGGTCAGACACCCTCCCTAACGGCTATGCATTCACCATTAGAGCCGTCCAACCAGGCGATGAATTTGTCCTGTGCCATCATCAGAACCGACGTCCGTTCGGTCATGCAACCGTCGTCGCCACAAGCCAGCATCAAGTGGAGATCAGCTCCTCGATCACCAAAGATAAGGACATCGTGAAGAAGGTGATCGTCGCGATGCATATTTCGGTGAGATACACGTGTGAGCCGCATGGCATGATGTCATTGAGAGCAGATGAGCTCGTAGACGTGATGGGGGTCGCTGTCGTTAGGAAAAGTGCCAAAGAATCGAGAGCGATCACAAGGTGCATTGAAGAGGTGGAGATTCCTGGGCACGGTGAATGTCTTCTCTACAATGAGGATGATTAAGGAAACACTGACTCGAACTTCGAAGTTTAATGGCGATATGTCTTTCCTTATATAGTTTCGGTATCACTATCACTATCAGGTTAATACTGATGTGTCGGCCTAGTTTCCATCCATTCATGCTTAATGAGTGAGTGAGGAGATTTTATCCCCCACCCATCTCCTCACTTTTTTTTCTTGAAGATATTTCTGCCAATGCCAAGTGGAACTACTGAATAATTGCACCTATTCTCATCTCAACGTTAACATGAAGTTACAATTCTGACAGGACAAACTTGAGGTTCAAGGGGGTGACCTCCCCCCCCCCCCCCCCTATCCACTATCAATAGAATAGAGTATACACCCTGTAGATCAATACTCGGCTTATTTTTTGCTCACCCCTCCCCCACCCCCAAAAATATAAATATACATAATACATGTATACATGGTTATGGGGGGTGATTTTTGTTTTTTGCCAATTTGATCAACTGTTTTGTTTGTGTGTGTGATTATCTACACCTCTCTGTGCAGTGTGTGACTCTGTGATGAGATGTGCTCAGAATTTGTAGAAAATGTACTGGTATGCCAAAAATATTATGTCCTTTTGTATATAGTCATTAGTTCTAACTTATATTGTTGTACTGAAATGTATCAGGAATGGTCCACCTTGTTCATTATTAAAGCTATAAGAGGTTTCTTTATATGCATGCATGATGCACAAGTTTTTGTTTCTTGCATTCACATATGTTATTGTTTCTTTGCAATAAAAGAATGCTACTTTTATTGCAAGTTTGCTAGAATGTGTAATATAAAACATTCAATCTCTACCATATATAGCGTCACTAGCGTGAGGTAATTTTATTGAAAAGAATTTGAACCAATAAGGGTAATTTGATGTATTTTCAATTTTGCATTAACCTACATGTATTGAATTTGAGTATTTTATATACTGTACATGTATTGCTCAACAGTAACAATCTTAATTATAGAGGAATATCAAATCGGGTACCTTAAAGGTACTATGTCCCATTTGCAGGCCAAAAAATGAAAAAGTTAAATTCCAACTGCATTTGAAAGATAATACTAATTAAGAACTTCCCTAAAAAAAGGTGGGGCTTAAAAATGTCTTCAAGTGAGAAAATAAAGACTATTAGTTGTCAAATCGACTTTAGGTCTATAGAGCCCAAAAGTAATAGTCTTGATTTTCAGACAATTGTACCGAATGGTCATACATTTTATGCTGCGCAAAGATCCAATCAGTTTAATCTTGGCCATCACAAGAAGTGGGTTATTCACTTTGCGTTACGATTTTCCTCACTACCGTCACTTCGTGAAAACAAGGACGAAATGCTCATGTACCCTTTACAACTGTTTTCATACATGTATGTTATTACCAAAGAAGAAAAAAGCCAGTCAGTCACTCAATAGTGTCTGACAGTGAAGTCTAGCAAGTAAACGCGTTTCCTTGCATAATTTGAATATGAGGACACTGCTAACGTCTAAATTTCACAGATAGGAGATACATGACATATTCATAATTCCTGCAAAGTTCTACAGAATTTGAGGTTGGCTGCAAAAGGGACATAGTATCTTTAAGGTGTTTTCTCTTCTACTTTTTTTCAACTGGTAGACAACTTTGGTTGGTCAGAGCAGGGAGTTGTCAGTTAAATCTCACTGGTTAGAGGGGCACAATTCATAAGGTCAATCAAATTGGTAGCAAACAAGACTCCCCCCCCCCCCCCCTACAAAACCACAATCTTTGTAGAGCTGTATCAATTTTGGCTTTGCCTGAAAGGAAACTATCATGCCAGAGTATAAAAGTCAGATTCACAGAAAATACAATATATTCTTTTCAATTGTGGATGATCCACTGTTTTCTTTATTTTCTTTGTTGCTTGCTTGCTTATCAGTATTTTTAAAACTGTGCTTCACAGTCACACCCCCCCCCCCCCCTGAAGAGAATCCTGCATCCGCCCTTGGATGTACACCCATGTAGGGTTTTTTTTGTCTTGCCAATAAATATTTGTCACATTATAGTTTTGTATCTGGTACTCTCTAAAAAAAATTGAGTGATCATGGACGTCACTTCTCTGGAGAGTGAAAATGTAGTAAAAATAGAGTGAACGTTTACTCTTTTCTTCTTAGAGAGCACTCTAAAATCAATCGATTTTCACTCCTAAACAAGTGACCACGGACGTCACTCCCAAGAAAGTGAAAATAGAGTGAAAATTCACTCTTTTTTTTTTTAAAGAGAGATTATGAAATATATCTTTGTCCAATTAGGAGTAGACAATTACTTTTGAATTAAATCATATACAGTACATTCACATTGCATTAATGTACATTACGCCAAATTAAAAAAAAAAAAAGAAGGATATTATTAGTTTTTACAGTACATCCAACAACAAAAATAGCTTACAATGTGCATTTGGTGCTCTAGAAGTCTGATAATAAGCTTTTAAAACTATATTTTTCTGTTTCTGCAATGTCATAGAAACACAAATTATATGCACAATTATGAGTATTCATGTTAATTGCAATTTTGATTGCTGCATGGTTTATAAATACAATATTGTATGATTACTATAAGGTCAGCAAATATTTAAAAGGATCACAAAATTTTAGAAAATGCCTTCCCCTCACATGTATGGACTGGTTGGACTTCCATGACCAGTACATGCACAAAAGTCTTCAATGTTGGACAATCATACAATGTGAACTTTATTTAGATTTTTGACAGATGTTTGATGTATTTGGATGATTGTATAGCCTCATGAAGTCAAATGCAATGTCCATGTGAATACAAAATGTATGTATTTCTCTGTATAATATGCACAAAATAAGAATATATCTTAAAACAAATAGCCTACTGATCACCTTTTGACTTGTTTCTTTCTTTTATATGTCCATTTCTTTTATTATTTTGTCTGTTCAGAGCATGGGTGTCGATCCGTAACTGATACCTATTCATCAGGGGGGGATGATCTATTTATTCATCCCCCCCTGATGAATAGGTATTACGTAAGGATCGACACCCATGGTTCAGAGCCAGAAGGGCATTAACTCTAGTATAGTCAAACCTGCTGTAGCCTCTATGAATATGACGGACAAAGAAAGCGGACAAAATATACAGTTCCTCAGGTAGACAAAGGAACATCCCTTCACTGCTATTATGTAAAAATGTGTAGAACAGGTGAATATGCATGTGACACCTGTTCTACACATTCTTACATAATAGCAGTGAAGGGATGTTCCTTTGTCTACCTGAGGAACTGTATAATTGTGTCCGCTTTCATTGTCCGTCATGTTCATAGTGAGGACCACCTCACCTGTATAGAAAGTTATCCTGTTTACAAAGATCAATTGATGTGTTTCTATGAAAATGGTTTGTCCTTGAAACATGTACAATGTACTAAAAGAACCTGTACAAAAGACCACCTGCCTATAAACTATAAAGATTAAGGACCAGTTACAGCAGTGTCTCCCTTTAGCGGTCATTATATACAGGTTTCACTGTAGGTTAATCAAAGCCCTTCTGCATGGCTCTAAACAGACGGTTTCTATGATGGGAGATGCACAATTGAGAGTTTGTAAAAAGAGAGATCATTATGATTGTGTGAGTGCTTACTGTGATACTGGTAAATGACTTATGATCTTGATATGATGATTAATGTTCCTTACTCAAACTGTTCTTTCTTTGAATACCCCCCCCCCCCCCCCCCCCCCCCACAAAAAAAAAAAAAAAAAAAAAAATCTTTAATGTTCATTTATGTCATCCTAATGGAGCAGGGGAACAAGTGCTTTTGAAATGTGTACCTATTGATAGCCAAGACGATTTATGGTCCAGTGATCTCATCAGTCCGTGGACCTATTCATTACTTATTCCATTACTACAGGATGAAAGGAAGCGAGGGGGGTGGTAATCCGCTCATCTAATGTACGTCTAATTACTCTGACGTTGGCCCGCGTAATACTTGTCTTTACGTCATTCGTAGAACAAACGGAGAATCGGCATTCAGTTTGTTTGTGTCCCCCTGTCTGTTCATCTCCGTATTCTTTTTAATCAATTTATTAGCTACGGAAAACCTATTCCCATGTTTCCGTTTTCGTTCTCATATCCTCCCTCTCTCTCTCTCTCTCTCTCTCTCTCTCTCTCACGCACTTTACCTTATTTTCCTATTCCTATCTTTTACCTGTTGTGTTCTGATTTTATTCATTCGAGTTGCCATCAATGTAATATCATTTTAAAAGTAACTATTTATATCAGCTTTTAAAATCAACTTTCTTACCTTTCCTGTCGTTTCTTTCTTACCTTATTCCCCTGAAATTAACTTCTCTTTTTTTTCTCTTCACTTTAGCTAATTTTTTAGGTTCGTTCTCCCTTTCCTGTCCTTTTGATTCTCCCTTTTTTCCCGATCCTTACCATATTTTCTTCGTCGTGTCACTCGTTCTTGTTTCTTTGCCTTCCTCTGCTCCTCTCTTTTTTTCCAACTGCACGTACTTCGGTTTAAAACCTTTTTCTCATATATACTTATAATTGGTTGCGTCTCTGCGTCATTTTCTTCTCTTCCTCTTTAATGCTAATCTACTTTACTCTAAATTCTGCCTCGCCTTTCAAATAAGATGACGGTGATGATGATGATGGTGGTGGTAGTAGTTTTGGTTGGAGTGGTGGTCTTGGTTTGGTAGTGGATGATGGTGGGGGTGTATGGTATTGTTTTATACGTCACATTGTGATTAGATTATCATGGATGATTTCAATATTGGTTTCTTTTTATACACCAGACAAGATATTGTAAAAGAATATAACATAACAAATCATTTTCAATTCTCCAATTGAATTGAATTCACATGAAAAAGAATATTATTATAACAATGTTTTTGTTAAAGACAAAAGGGGTGTAGGTCCAAGTTATTAAAAGGGGAAGGGGCGCTTCTTGGAAAGGAAAAAGGGGCGCTTGTCAAAGTAAAAGGGGCATCTCTCAGATCTGAATAGGGAAATTATCAGAGGTGAAGGGGGCACTTTTCCAAATTGAAAAAGGGCTCTTCTCGTACCTGAAAAGGAGCACCTATGGGAATGGAAAATTGACACTCATTGCAAAGAAAATGGGAACTTGTCGAAGGAAAAAAACACGTGATGGGGCACTTATCAGAGGTGAAAAGGGCATTTCCTATGTGAAAAGGGCCATTTTGGGGGTAATAATAATAATAATAATAATAATACTCAGTTCTTTTATAGCGCATAACACATTACAGGATAGCATGTCCCTCTGCGCTTCAAATAGAAAGGGGTACTTGAAATTGGGGGCAGTGTTCCCCCAGCTCCCCCGGGAG